GCATAGTTTGTTAGTCTTTCCATCATCGTACATCTTTAGATGCCTTTTCCTAAGACACCATACAAGAAATAGAGGCAGATGAGGTAGGAGTTATACCTACCATCATGTGTAGATATCTAGATCAGTACGGCAAGTTATTTAGAATTCAACCATAGTTTCATAGATACCGGTTCGTCTTGAAAATACCGCTGTCTATCCGCCGTCTTCGTCTTCATTTTTTTAAATATTTATTCCTTGGTTCACTACGCGGTGGGTATTGGTCACTTGGGCATTCAAGACTGCCAACCTCGAGGTAGCAACCCTTGCAACAACTAAGACTTTAAATTGTATGATGCTAAGAGGCAGTGAGAGGAGTATTATGCGATATCTTGCACACTGCAAAGCTCCACATAATCAGTCAGCTAGCAAAACACTGACAACGCTTTTCTTGAGGACATTTCGTAACGGACTCCCCAGATTGTTGAACCCCATTGTGACTACACGGCATTTCATCGGATACGTATCATTCTTTATGTAAATGTCGAAGGGGTATTGTAAGAAGTTTTCGGCGTATACGCCCCTGTATAAAGCTTTATGAGGTAAAACACATCGAAAGGGAAGACATCCCACTAAAGAAGTCCAATTCCCTTTTGGAGATTTTCCAATGATGCGATTCTAGAATGACTCGCATCTCTGAGTTGTCACCTCAGGTTCTTGATTTGACCACCGACAGGTTTAATACTAGTCAAGTTAGGCAAGGTCCGTGTGCATGGGTACCACCCTGGACGGTAACGTTGTTGGAGTAGATAGTTGGCAAAGTTAACGACAATATCCTCGATACATTGTGGCATGTGATTAGATGTAGGGTATTAATCATGTTATACAGCAGGTTCTAAGCCACTCCTGGCTTGCGTTGTGCTTTAAATCTGTATATCATAGGGTGTTCAACAGCCTTACAAAGAAAACGATTCCTGGCACCGACAAGCTTTCTAAAGACACGGGCCGTTTTCTCTTTGCATATCAGGGAAACTAGTAAAGTCATATTTCCGTAGGTCGAATCTGAGTTAATGTGGTGGGTTATGTGTGGCCCCCAAGTATTGATCTAGTTGAGTGCATTGGGTGTTCCATGGAATCGTTGTGCGACACAGCTCCCTAAGCTCGATGGGTCTGAATCCGACTGTCCAGAGCCAGTCGGAAAATGTGTAAGTGGATAGGTGGTCCAGAATTTGGGTTGGCTTTAGCGTCTGGCGTTGGGTGTGATAGTCTCTACCCCCTGATGCGATCCATGATAGGGTAAGATATATGACATTGTCCTCTTGGACAGGATAGCGCAGTTCTAACTCTGTTGATAGATGTGGGATCTCAGCACCACCATTGAGGCTGCATGAAAGTGCTTCATCGCAAATGGATCCGGTATCAGCCCCCAGAGTTCCGGAGTCGAAGAGAGTTGTCCTGCCTTGTATTAGTGGTTTCGACATATTGCTGTGTGGTATAGAAAGAGACTCGCCCCAGGTTGCATAAGAACTTCAACACATGCGCTTGAATATTTCCATGTGCATTTATACTTTCCCCAAGTCACGCTGAAGTTATCGATCAGCTGCATACCATACAAGCTTCAGGTCTTTCTCGAACGGAAAGCGTGAGGACAGTCCGTTTGTTCTTCTTCTCCCTCCATCATCATCATACCATACACAAGCACAGAGATTAGGGCTGCCACAAGCTAGATAGCTGTGTGCATAATTTCCGCAGTCGGTGCCAGAGTTTCCATCAAATCCCGAGGCTGGCCTTAATCACGTTGTGGATTTGGAGGCCAGTATCGGACATTGTGAGACACAAATGTAATGAGCTTGTTCGCTGGCAAAAAGAGAGCTAAACATAGGAAAGAATTTGGGAAAGGTTCTCAATTTGGGATGAGCCAGATATTCCATTTCTGAGTGTGTTGAGAGTCACTACAATTCTTCATTCCCTTCGATAAGGGAATGGGACGTGATCCAAATGGTCCCTAATAGAAAAGATTGAATAAATACCCCATAGTCAGGAAAGGAGGCCTGTATGTATAGAGCATTACTGTACCTCAGTATGACCAGTAAGGCTGAGTTCAAAGCGCCACAATTAGTGCATCGAGCGTGGATGAGAGTTCAGGGCCGAATGTTTAGTATTACAAATACCCTGCGCTATTTGGTTATTCTGCCTACCCACTTTCTAAATATTTCAACTTGAGGTTATATCGATACTCTCTTAAATTTTAGAAAAACTACCAGTTACGGTTTATCTTTGCATTGCCATTCTCGTCATCACGGTGACTTCGATCGAATCGATTCAGGTCATTAACCAGGTACGAAAATTTAAGTTATCTACAAGAGATTCTTACTACACAGTGAGCTGACAGAAATGAATTGGCATGTAAGTAATTGTCTTTAATCTCAAAGATATAGCTGCCTGGGTAATAAGCTAACAGAAATTGAGTTGATAATGTGTAAGTGATAATCCTTGATCTTAGAGAGATGAAGCTGACAGGTCACAGTTGAGACCATAAATTGACACAAGGTCCGGTTTCATGATTTCCAAGTTGTTCGATCTGCTGAAAACTTTCTATAATGGGAGGCGATGTCTTCGTAAATGCTTAGTTGAAGATCCTGAGTTCTATATACTGCATCAGTCGAGAAACGGTAAGCGTTGGAGTGTCTCCCATGATCTTGCAGTTCGGTACTTAATCAATCATACTATAACGTTTCTGCCACATTCCTGCCTGCACATCTTCTCCTTATAGAGTTTTATCCCTCGCAAAGGGTAAAAAGCTAACCCTAATTCTAATCCAGACCACTTATCAGGACATTGCAACCTCAACCCTTGTTGATAGATTTGCAAAACAAAACGAGACCGGATAGAACTGATAGAACGCTACAGTAAATATCATTTTTCACAGCTCATATTATACAATCTTAATGGTCTAGATTACGTTCTAAAGAGGCCCCGTCCTCAAGGTACTGATTGAACTATACTATTAAGCTTATTCAAGATAAGCTTCATACCAGCTGGGGACATTATTGGTTCGAAAAATCCCTCAATGACTGGATCTCGATTTGAATTTCTCCTTACCGAGTAAATATTTTGAGGTGCAGATCACTCGTATTACAGCATGCCAATGGTTCTCTGTGTTCTAGTAGCTTGAATTATCAGCTAACGCATCTACACGTGGAGAAGTCGTGTTTGTCAGACCACAACTTCCGGTCTAAGCAGCACATAGCAAGTCATCCGTGAATAGTATAGGTTATGTTTCTACCTGAATAATATACTTAAGCATGTTTCGGTGAGACATAGTCGCTATTTCCTTCATTCTTTTTATTTTTTTATTTTTTTATTTATTTATTTTATTTTATTTTATTTTTTTTAGGAATTTGATATGCCTATCGGATTTCTGGTCGCATATGTGACGGAGGTTGAATCGGTTCAAGCTGCTGTGGATGTAGGAGTTTGTTACTCTCTCAGAGCCTTCTTTATATAATATCATTTCTAAGTTATGTACAATACCTTCGCTCGACAAGAACCTTCGGTATGTGGAACTCAAGGAATCAGTTTTATGTCGACAATCAACTTATAGTTCGTATGACACAGAATCCTTGTTATTTATCATGCCACGAAATAGGAGATAGATAGACTAGCTCAGCGGGTAATCAGCTCATCTACTTGTCTACCCCTGTAAGGGTATTTCCAAGAGCCAACGAGAAGACTCAATAGTGCAATTGATTTGACAAATCAAATCAAGGCTCATACTATTCTTACACCCTTGTTCTCACGTGAGCCGGAGAGATTCACTTGACTGGGAGGTCTGATCACGACGGCACGTCAGCCAAACAACTACTGTTGAGGATAGACAGTCGCATAATATTGTGAAGTATAAGAAAGGAATTATTCTGCCTGGAACTTGGTGACATATGTAAATATAGAAGCCGTTCCTTATCGCGATTTGGCCCCCAATTAACTGAGGCTATATTACCGAACAAAAGCCCTCCGGAAGGGAAATGGCTTTTATAAGATGCTTATCGGGATTGCGAATATAACGGCTGCATATGAACGAGTGGGACTAGTGGCCACTCCTTGGTTATTTATGACGCTGTATCGAGACATGAAGCACGCGACCTTGAATGGGAGCCATGACTTGTGCCTTAGAGCATTGGTATCCCTGTCCTCCACTGTCTTGGCAGGGCTATTATTGCGTTCTCTGTTACAATGGAATGATAATTAACTCGGTGGTAGGGCGAGTTACTCGAGACCTGTGATCCTAAACAGCAAATTTGTCCTCCTTGAATCATATTCCCCAATTATTTAAAATACTATTCGAGGTTTTCTAGTTGTTAGAACAAAATCCCGGATTATTCTTACTGGGGATATCACTGGGTTACATGAAACTTCCCCCCACCCCCTCTCTCTCCATCTCACCCTTCAACTTATCGCGCAGAGAGAGTCCCGGAAACTGCCATGGTGTTAGGGCTCGGGATGGGGTCAGCCTAGTGCGTTACTATAGCACCGAATTTAATGTGGAGCCTACGAATAATACCGGATCTCCGAAGGAACCAAAACAAAATGGCTCAACTCTAGCGTCTTGTTCATTGCCACCCAAGAGTTCTCACTACCACCTTTTTATAAATAGGAGATTTATGTCCAGGACCACGCCAAGATAGAGGAGCGGAAGGAGTCCAATCGGAAATGCTCGTTTAGGCCCTGTTGGCTCTCTCACCCTTGTCATATCAGTCATGGTTTCTGAAAAGTAGGCAACGATCTTCGAGAATTATCTTCCCATGGTAGAAAATGCCATCCTCGGCATGCGAGAGATCTGGTGATACCCAATCCGATTGGGGTAAAAGAAGTACCTGGGGCCTTGGCATACAGCCCTATGTCCAATGCCTTGGAAGATTTATGTTAGCATAATTATTTTATTTTTTTTTTTTTGCATTGTTGCTAGGGTGAAACTAGCATATAGACTAGTATATGCGCACCTGCTGAGTTATTCGAAGAGGAACCGGCTATTCTGCTTTTCTGATTCTGTCTCAAATGTCGTGAGTTTTGTTGTTGTTACTGTACTACTACTGCCTTATTTCATCGTATATCATATGTGAATATATGAGTAGATAGCACTCGAAAATGCCCTCCCCGTCATCTCTGCTACGTACTTTATGTGCCATTTCCCTGCTCGGCCTGACAGCCGCCGCTCCGTCCGTGCAGACTGCCCTAACCAACGGCCCGCGACCGATCTACGCCATCGCACACAGAGTTCTCCGAACTGAAGCAGTGACAGCGGCGATCTCCCACGGTGCCAACGCAATAGAAGTTGATCTCCACGGCACGGACGAATGGTGGGCTGATCACGACTGCAAGAAAAACAGTGCCGGCGACACCGCCCGTGAGCTCTTCCAGTTCATCGCCGAAGAGCGTAGGAACGGCGCCAACATCACCTTCATCTGGCTAGACATCAAGAACCCCGATGAATGCCCGCAGTACGAACCATGCTCCATTCAGGCCCTGCGGGATCTAGTCCGCGAAACGCTAGAGCCAGTGGGCATCCGAGCCTTGTATGGCTTCTACCAAACCGGAGAAAGTCAGGGCTATAAGGAGATCCTGCATTCGCTGAATCAGAACGAGGCTATTTCTCTCAGTGGTTCTGCCAGGGATGTCTTTGAGATGTATTTTACTACTTCGCGGTCTCTGCCTGTGAAGCAGAGGATCATGGACTATGGACATGTCAATATTCAGAAGAATTTCGGAGATTGCCATGAGCGTGGGGGAACGACTTGTTCGGAGTTGCGCAATGGGCGCTCAGCTAGTGATAGAGGTCAACTGGGGAAGGTCTTCGCTTGGACTAGCACGGAGGGGGATACAAGATATGTGAGCGATCTGCTGAGTGTCGCTCAGGTTGACGGGATCATCTACGGGAATCAGAAGCATGATTATAAGGACGAAGCCCGTACTAGGAATGCCTTCTGGGAAATCCTAGATTTCGTGAAGGCTAATCCGGATACTGTCCGGATGGCGACGGCGGATGATGCACCTTGGTAGGTGATCTTATGTTTGGATCATTGCTGTCGATTCCGCTGTTTATTTCACAAACTTTGATTATGATTATATCTTCACTCCTGCAGCTTTGGACGTTTATTCCTCCCTCGCGCGACTCTCATCGACGTTATGTGCCTCTCCAAAAGGCTGCTCCGAGGAGAGACTGCTCGGAGAACGAAAGCGTTGGGTTAATGAAGGCATGAATGGTCAGATCAAATCTGCAAAACACTGTATATACCCCATTTCTTTCCAACTGCTATAGAAGTTCCTGGAAGGAACGGGAAACAAATCCATGCTAGCACGATCCTCGTAAAAAAGAGTCCAGTTAAGCATCGATTGAACTCAAGATGGCATGACATTCATACACTAACCGCTTCAAGGAAGGAGGTCGTGTGACCATAATTGGGAGATTGATTACTAGGTAACTAGACGTTACATCTCGTTGAATTTATGATTGGCATTTTACGAATATTGGTGCCACTGGGAAATACAAGACATACTTGCATCTAACCTACTGGTGACCTCCGGTCCAGCAACTTGCTATATAACTAACCAATTCGCGGTCACATCCTTAGCCAAGTGCAAATCCCCACTCAGAGCGTAGAGGGTTTGTAGGGCCAATGCTGCCTCGGGAGAGAAGTCTTCGACGAATGGTTCTTGGTCCGATCCCGCATCTCTCATTTCCACATCGTTATCCACATGCCTGGTGATTTGCACCACCGGCTTTGCTCCTCGATTCTCGGCCTGTATCTGCTTCCCCAGTTCTAATACACGCTGGTAGCCTTCTACGGCCAAATTGGATAGGCCGAGCATGTGCCATACTCGAGCATAGTTGAACTCCATTTCCTGTCGCTCTTGCAGAAGACTCCCTGGCCGCTCTCGAACGCGTCGATATTCCTCCATAAATGCGAGTCCTTGCATGATCATGAAGTGCCGGTTTTCGGACTGACGTTTGAGAGAATGGTGAATATAACTGAGGGCGATCGAAAGAAGCACCGTTGGATTTTGGTCGTCCAAGGCATACGCACGGAAGAAGTAATTCAGAGCCGGCAGAAAGCTGTTACCAGAATAAAGTATATGACCGTACAGTACCAGAAGAGCGACATCCATAGCTTCTGCTGGAACGACTTCTCCGTTCTCATCACGCGTCGATAAACGTGCACGCTCGTGATAGATTGATTCTCTCACGGGCTTACTCGACCGCAAGCCTGTGGTCCCGTCCGGGATCGTGTAGTCCATAGCTTTGATCTGCCGCAACATGAATTTCATGTTTGCTGATGAATGGAAGAGAGACCGGTGGGGGTCCCCACAGAGGCGACTCAGCATGGAAAAAAGTCGATACGTATCAGTTACGAACTGATACTCCTTGATGAACCAGCGTGCCTCATTGGCAAGCGTTTCCTCGTCCTGCGCTCGGAGAGCACAAGCTATCCCAAGTCAGCTGTGAAACGCGCATCGGGAAAAGGGGTACTCACTGAACCAGCAAACGTGGATCAAGCGAGTGCTGGGCTTGGAATGGTACCAAATGCTGGCATCTGCAGCAGCAGCAAGTGAGTCGTACGCTTCTTCTGGTTCACCCTGTCCTGCCACAGCAAGGGCGTACTGGAGGAACAGGTCAAGCCACTCATCAAAAGATATGCCATGATAGTCGGTCGGGATAGCCCCTTGAAGAGGTTCTTCGGTGATGGTGCCTATGCAGATGTTAGTTGCACAAAATACACACGACTTAGTGGTTTAATCGTACCAAGAGACTCCTGAAGACGGCCAGCCATTTCCTGCATCTCATCCATCATCGTTTGACCCTTAGACTTCCCAGACTTTTTATGGGCTTCTCGTGAATAGCCAAGAAACACGGCATTGCGCTGTAGCGGATAGAATACTCGGTTAGACCGAAACTCACGCAACAGTGCATCGGCAATATCCAGCCAATCCTCCGTGGCTTCAAGATCGCCTTCTTTTACCTTTGGCTGCAGCTGCAGTAGTTTGGTGTAGAGGAATTGGATGCTTTCTGTCCTTTCATTTTCAGACTCCGGGGAATCCTTTCGACCGAACACAGCTGCAGACTTAGTGGTAAGTGTAGGTGCTGCTACATCATTACCTACAGAGTCTGGCAAAGCGGAACTCAAACCAGGCGCCGCAATTTCACCTTCAGCTAACTTGAACTCCATTACTAACTGCTCCAGTCTTGTGTCTTTCCGTCGGCGATTCCCCCTGGTTTCTTGCCTGCCAAGTAGAACGGCTTCGTTAACATACTTGAATGCCTGCTCGGTCATGCCAATGCCCTCATATAACTTCGCCAGCTGTACACGAGATTCTATATTCCTCGCGTCATGCTCTGCGACTGTAAGATAACAATTTTCGGCGTCTTCGAGCCTATCCAGGTGCCGAAAGCAATCTCCCATTGCCATGAAGAAACTGACATCTGCATACTCTTCTGTTTGCTGTAGTGGCATGTAGAACCGGAGTGCATCTTCGAATAGTCCAACTTCTTTGAGTGCGTCTGCAACCTCTCGGAAGAGATCCCCGTAATCATAAAGTCGGGCCCCTTCGGATGTGTCGTCTGGATTGAGCCACCCGAAGTGATGCTGTAAGCTTGTGTTAGAAACAAGATGCGTGCTAACGATTTCATCCATACAAGACTCACCAAAGCTTCATCCTTATGCTGATACCCCATTCTCAGACGGAAAAGGCCAAGTTTAATGCGCAGCTCTAGAGGAAGACCCAGCCCATAAGAGTCTCGTGGCCATCGCCCTGGTTCGTAACCATCAGCTTTGATGCGCCGAGGCGAATCACTAGCATCCCATTCGCGATCATCCTCATCGAAGTCTTCCCACATCGTGTCATTCTTGCGGCCAAGGAGCCATCTAGAGAGCGTCTTCAGGGCCCAAAGCCCCTTTTCGGGTTGGTTTAAGTAGCTATAAAGCTCAGCATAGATATTCACATCTGACCAGGAAAACTCGGGAGCCTCTTCTGGGTCAAGAGATAAAAAATACTCCACACTGTCTGCCCAGTGATCAACTGCCTTCTGGACATCATTCAAGTCAATATAGATCTCCGCAATATGTCGCAGAGCCCTGGCATTATGCGGCAATTCCTTGAGAATCCGCTCGTACTCCGTCGCAGCTCGGCCGTTGTAACCTAATTCCCGGTAGATAGCCGCTCGTTGGAAGCGTACATTGAAGTTCTTTGGGTTGATATCAATGACACGGCTATAGCAGTAAACAACATCATTGAGTGCGCTTTGGCGATCCTCTCCAGCCCGCTCCAGGATCATTCGTGCCACTTTGGCCCAGACTGTCGGATCTTTAGGGCGCGTATGTGCACCGCTAAACAAAGCGGTCAATGCTTTGTCTTTGTGGCCCTGTGCTAACCAAATCTCTGATAGGAGAGAATGGGCAGCAAACATCTCCGGGTTGATTTGAATTGCCTGTTTTACTAACTCGATAGCACGGTCATAATCACCATCAATAAAGGCCGATGTAGCCTCCGAGTGCAGTATCTTGAATTCGGGGCTAGGCTCTAATGGTTTGCGAGGTCCGCGCTTGATACCTTTACCACCACGCGCACCGAAGCGACCAGAAAAAGGCCCCGTGCCTCTGCGGCGTCTCCTTCGACGAGAATACGAATCATCATCGCCGTCATCACCCTCATCAGTCAGTTCCTCATCGCTATATGGTAGGTTAGTTTGAAATAAGTTGGTGACAAACAACAACAGCCGAGATGTATACTGACGTCGAGCTTTCTTCTGGGGAGAATTCATAAGTAGAATCTTCCGCAGAGTCATCAAATTCAGCATATTCTTCAGCATCTTCGTCTTCATCGAGCGGTATATCCTCTGGTAACTGTGAAGTATTGCTTGGGAACAAGTCCTTATACAAACGGGGGTCCAGCACTGAATGAATAGGGTCGGACTGGGCCGTTTGCTGGGGTCCCTGCCACGGATAATGTATCGTCTCGTCAATGTCAGGGTACGCGACGTCCCCGGCTTGGGTATCGTGACTGGGCTGGTCAGGATAACCCATATTTACGATTTGGGTCTTCAGGCTATCCACCAGGGTCTCTTGTCTTGCTTAATGCTTTTCGAAGCCGATTGCCCATAAAAGCCTTTGGACCCTCTTCGGAATCCCAACGCACTCCCACGGACAAATAGTATTAGATCGATTGGTTGCACAAAAATTGTGCGGCACCGTCAGAAAAATAATAGAACGATAGTCTGGGGCGTGGAACTTAAAGATGCCGAGGACGAGGGCCGATCATAGCTGATTTGGGGGCTCAGCGAACCAGAATGAAGAATGCAACGGTTGTGTCCACCTTCGTGCGTGTAGAGTAGTAGTTATGATATAGATAGTTCGATCCTTCTACTCGGACTGGGATTGCGAGGTGTGTGGGAAAATAAAAATAAGAATAAGAATAAATAGATAAAGGGGAGTATAATAAAAAGTCAAAGAAGAAAAGAAAGAGAGATATCAGATGCGCAGAATTATTTTATTCATAGCAACAATTAAGCGCCAGTCAACGCTAAGCCAAGACCAACCGGCGCAGAGAGAGGCTAGAGGGCTAGAGGCTAGAGCAGTCTGTGCAGACGCGGACAAGGTCGCCTTTGATGGAGTCGGACTTGAACTGGAGCAATCGGAGCAGGAAAAAAAGACGAACTAAGAGTGTCGTGCGAATAAAGAACCCTTGCCAGTGGAGTTATTGGAAGCAACCGAGAAGATGGGTTTGGGATTTTGATGGAGGGACAACTTGAGAGTCTTTTCTCCTTCGGGAAGTCCAGTGACCTCCGGCCGCGCCCAAACGGCAAAGCGCCGTTTCATTGACTTCTTCTCGCTTCTTTGCCTTCTCCGGTTCCTCCTCTCAATCTTCTTCATCTTGTTTCCCCATCCCCATCGCTGCCTTTCCCTTCCATCCTCCTCTTGTCTCTTTTCTCACCTTCCTTTTCCTTTTTCTTCTTTTTGATGCTTCAGGCATCCTGCTTGCTGTGTTTGACACACTATTGCAGTTAATCCTGACATCCTTTCGTTACAACCAAAAAAAAAAAAAAAAAGAAACCTAAAAAAAAAGAAGGGAAAAAAAAGCCCACACTTCCTAATTTATACCCGTTCAACGCTCCGCTTTGCCCACTCCGCGAACCCACCGAAACGTTTCTCACCCTCACGACAAAATCCTTTGATGCTCTTTCGATTCGAATCCCTCGTCAGAACTCGAATCCCGTAGTGCAGCCACTGGACTGGTCTGTGCCTCGATCGTCGTCGCTTAGAGTCAATTGTGGTTGAGTTTATCACGCTTCAAAAAAGAATAAGACCGTCTCCGTCCTTAGAGAGATTGTGCGAATTTTCTTCGGCCAAACCCGGTTTTTGTTGTTCACGACCGTGCGACTGTCAATCTAGAGCCCCTCCCTCTCGATCAAGGCTCCTCTCGATACTACGCAAACTCAGCAGGTGCTGCAGGTGTTTTGCAGTAATATCTTATTCTTCTTCTATTTGTATTTGTTATACATCGAAGCCTGAAGGCAAAAGAAAGAGAAGCCAATACCCGGCTTTTCCTTGATCGACACCCCCGTCATTCCTTGCTCCATGGCCAGTCACATCATTGGTAATCGCAATAGCACTCCGGACGCTTCCAAATCTACCCTCCGGCCTCCGTCGTCCTCCCGTAACCTAGGTTCGCATCAGCTTCGAGCATCGGCCGATATGTCGGGATTCCCGTCCCCCTTGTCGTCCCGCAGCATCCGTCCATCATCGGAGGTGTACTTCAATCAGCAGTCTCAAGCGTCGAACAATGCAGAGGATCCTCTGGATCGTGCGGCCCAACAGTGGCTTGCGGATATCGATCAGTACGAAACCACGCTAGAAGAGATGGCCGCCGCAACGCTTGATCAGGACTTCAAGGATGAGCTCAGTGCGATCGAGCAATGGTTCCGTGTGCTCAGCGAGGCTGAACGCACTGCCGCCCTGTATGCTCTGCTTCAGCAGACTACTCAGGTGCAGATCCGTTTCTTTATCCAGGTTTTGCAGCAAATGGCCAAGAGTCACCCCATGTCGGGATTGCTGTCACCTGCGAACTTCGGAGAAAAGGGTAAGTTGACTGTTCGATGGTTCTAGGGAATCATATTTTGTTCTGTCTCTAACGTTTTGTCGTGTTTCGATTAGATGCTATGTCTAACCGCCTGAATGACGCTATGTCCAAACTGAACGTGGACAGCTCTCGGAACTCTCTGGGTCGTCCCCCGCCCTCTCCAGGTGCCAAGCGCAACTCGGGGCTGGACTCCTCAACCATCAATGCTATGTTCCCTGACGCCGCGGCAGCTATTGCGAAGAAGAAGGCCGAGTTCACCCAGCAGACTGGCAACGCCCCCCCGTCAAACCGTAACAGTGCAGTATTCGGCGATCGGACTTCATTCGTTGCACCTACCATCTCCGCTCCGGACAACACTACGGACAACCTAGGCCAGCCCCCTGTATCTCCATGGGCCCAGCGGGGTCCCGATAGTCAGCCTCCAATTGCTCGACCCAAGTCGTCCTCTGGTCATCAGCCCATGGGGCAGTTCAGCCAGGCATCTTCTGGGCTCCGCTCTCCCCTCCCGCAGACTGCCACGATTCCTGCCCCCGAAATCGATGCTCCTCTTTTGTCGCCATATAATGTTGGTAATGCCAGCTGGGCTTCCATGACCAACACTCCGATGACGGCTACCTTCGCGCAGCAGCAACAGCAGCAGCAACAACAAAACTCGCAGGCTGACATGGTGGCTAATGCGACGGCGATGAAGCTGGCTGCTCTATCGACTGTGAACAACCGTATTGCGCTTGACGATGCTCGGAAATACCGTCGTGCCCGCTCCAACGACGGACAAGGAAAGAATGCCAACGCCAACAATGCCAATCAGAACATGCCTCAGGGCGGCCTCGCAAGCCCAGGTCTCCCAGGTCCCAACCACCTTGTTGCTGGACAACTTTTGAACGCACAACAACTGGCGGCGCTCCAGGCACAACAGCAGGCCGCTATGGCGGGTCGGCGTTCTCGCCCGACATCCCCTGGAATTGCTATGCAAGGAGGCTCTCTCGGTCCAATGGGATTCACTTCGCCTCAGAACAACGGATTTTTGGCAGCATATGACCCGAATAACCCTCTCATGGGCAATGGACTGAGTGCGCTTGGCATTGGACAGTTTGGCCTTGGTGGACATGAAGGCTATCTCTCGGATCACTCGGAGGTCACTCGCGGCCGCTCGCCACGAGGCCGTCGTGGTAGCTCGAAGCCACCAGAGGACCCCACTGACCCTGCTCTATTGAAGGACATTCCCAGCTGGCTGAGGTCTCTGCGTTTGCACAAGTATACCGAAAACCTGAAGGATCTAAAATGGACCGAGCTCGTTGAGCTTAACGACAAAGCTCTGGAGGAGCGTGGCGTTAATGCTCTTGGCGCTAGGAACAAGATGCTCAAGGTGAGTTAATCGCCCGATGTAGTATTGTATGGTAAACTTCGGATTCTAACAGAACCACAGGTTTTCGAACAGGTCAGGGAGGCCAAGTCTGATGGCAAACTCGACAACATTCTGTGACGGAGGACCTACTGTTCCTCTGTCTTGTGTTTTTCCGTTCTATTTATCTTTCTAACATTCTCTCCATTGCATTAATTTGATTAGATTGAGATTGGGCATAAGTGGCAGGATCCGATTATATCCATGAGCGAATCATTGGATGACCCTTTGGGGAGGAGAGTTGTGTAATAATCGATTCGAGACGTTGTCTGATCCGACTTTGGATGAGTGACTGAAACTCTGTATGTATTTGTTTGATGGATTTGGCTATTGGGATGCCTTCAACAGTTCCCGAACCTTTGACGCCGATGGGAGACCCGGTTGTGTCCCAGATGGAACGAGGCCAGGAAAATGGGTTATGACAAGAATGAGGCTTGACTGATTGGCTTGAAGCTTTGATGTTATGTTAAGTATACTACTGATTAATTAACGACTACCATCTATACGGAGTGAAGTGATTCCATGACTGTACTGATCATGTCTTGGCAATATCTACCTGAACCAAATAGAAACAATATCACATATGGATTACTTTCTTTTACTATAAATCCATCCTGTCTGCCCTTCTGGATGTCTTTGAGAAAGCACACAACCACGTGGATTCCTTGCATACGAGTTCACGACACGGTGGTTTGAGTCATGATACGAAGTGCAATAGGCAATAAATTTATACGAACTAGCCAGTCCATGAAAAGCTTCCCCGAACTCGGAACACATCCGGTGGTCTAGCACCCCTCTTGATCAGCAAATTCTCAACATCACGATGTCCACGATGTGCGGCTAGCGGTATTGCACTTCTGCCGTCACTGCTCGAGTCCACATCAACACCGTGGGTGATTAATATGTCGACAATGTTCCCATGACCGTTTGCGGCTGCGAGGCATATTGGTGTCTGACCAGATTTGCACGGCTCATCGGCATCGATATCGCTCATGCTAAGCAACATCCGAACTAGATCACACCTCCCATACTCTGCAGCATGAGATAGTGGGGTGCGTCCATTACCATCTTTCATATGGCGTCTAACTTCGCCTTGGGATAGTCGCATTCTTGTCAGTGTAACATTGCCGGTTCTCGCAGCGTATGATAATGGTGTCAAGCCCGAAGCATCAGTTGAGGTTACGTTGACATCGCTTCGACTTAAGAAAAGCCAAACGATATTTATATGGCCCCCTTCGGCTGCATAGGACAGCGGTGTCCGTCCACGACGATCTCCTTCATCGGCTTTAGTCTCACGCCGAGCCAGCAGCATCCAGGTGACCTCCGTATTCCCATTTTCTGCCGCATATGACAGCAGAGTTCGACCCTTGTAGTCCGTCAGGTTGAGTTTTATAGCCCAACGCCTGAGGGAATCTCGTACCATTTTCGTATTTCCCTTTTTAACTGCATCCATGAGCACTTTTTCCAAACCGGGAGGGGCCGGAGGCGGCATCCTAAGTGTTAAGCCAGCCTCGTCAGATGGCTCAAAGCCCACGCTGGATCTATCACAAGGATCCGTAGACGGTACAATTAACTGGCTGTGGTTCTGAGACTCTGACATCCTCATACCCGCAAGACGCCGATGCTGGAATGTCATGAGCCTTGGAGGATACTGGCTTGGTCGAAATCGGCGCAGATCAATCAATCCAAGTCAATCATATTCAGCTCGCTCGAACCGATCCAGCGTCAGAAACTTATCCACCATGTAGATAGCAATGGAGTAGTCTTCTTTCCCCAGTCGTGTGCAGTTGAGAATAGCAAGCCCTGCCCCACAACCACCGGTTGCTAAGAAATGCAGTTCCAGCTGCAGCCCTTTATTGTTCACGGCCCAGGGAGCCTTGCGGCCCACTGAATAGTGGTCTTGTCGGAGGATAATATCATCAGACGCAGAAAAATCGTCTGGAGAAGTTGCGAGGGGCCCACTATGATTCTTCCGCTTTGTCGACTTCCAGGCAAGGATACTTTCATCGTCCGAGACTTTTATAATCTCTTCTTGGAGTCTGAGAAAGGCCGTATGGCCTTCTCCATACAGCAACGGCATACTGATCCCGAAGAGACCTAACAGGGAATACGCCCGATCTTCCAACCTAGTAGTTTGCCTTCCAGCAGCCCAGGCCATCCGCTGCGCCACGCTGATATTCTCTATGTTCACAGCACCCGAGAGAATATCTACAGGGATCTTCGTACGCGCGGATAGCCCAGCCTGCAAGCTGCCCTTTGTCCCGATAGGCTCCCAATATTTGTTCAGGAAGATGATATGCTGTGGAGCGATGAGTTCCTGCAGCGTCCATCCCCTCGTGAACCACCTGCTGTTCCCAATATCCTCTTTGGACACAATATCAGCCAAGTAAGCATAGCATATGCTGGCCTCTCCGTACCATTGATACATAGAGTTAATTGCACTGACGATTTCCGTCAGATCAGCCTTGCTGGATTTATCAATACAACATGTATCAATCCAAATGTAGGTGAAGCCATCAGCATTAGCTACACGACAGCTTGATTTAATTTTCCCGAATCCCTTCTTCTCTGTGACGTAGGTACTATGGAAATCCTGCAAGTCGGCATAGGTTACTTCCTCCTCCCAAGTGTGTGACAAGATGGCATACGGTGGGGTGTCGCCATCCGGAAAAGTTCTTATTTCAAAAGCCGAGGCATGAAGCAAGCGCATATTCCAATCGTATAGAGTAAGGGAGTCTGAAGTGTGGTTTTCTTCACGCGGCTGAAGAAAATGATAGCCTGGCGGGGTAATTAGGTGGCCAGGATTCCCGTATCTGCAAGTGATCAGACTAACGCTAGGGCTTATTTCTGCTTCTATAGTAAGTAAATTTTCAAAGGCCCTACGTGGAAAGTACTCTAGAGTCCAAAAGCAGCGTCTTCTTGTCTCCTTTTTCAAGATATTGTACACATCCATCTCTCTTTTCGGTTATTATGTCCATCATCATCAGAGTACAGGAACAGATTATTATTATTAAGTACACTGCCTTCCATTACTCAAAATAATTATCGTGGACTTCCATACTCAGGTTTTACTTCCTAGTTAGTGAAATCGTGGGGTAGCAATGGATCACCGTCACTTAGACTTGACACTGAATTAGGGCATAAATAGTCACCGCATAAAGCTTGACCCATGATAAAATTGGCCAACTCGGCCGGTCCGACACCTCAGCCAGCCTCAAGCAACCGCAGTTGCAACTGTCTCATGTGCCCATTTAGGGTTTATAAATAGTGTCTTTGCCGAGTCCACTATTTCGGTCTTCTGCAGGGATCTCGCCCCATAAGCGGGATCTACGGTTTGCAGAAGTCGTTCCTCAGGACCACTCAATTGATTCGTGGCTTGCGGGATTTGAAAGGGTCCCACTCCGACCTCCCCGAGCAATAGGCTGTCTGGGGTACATACCGTGATTACTGAAGTAACCTGCAGCCATGTTTTAGTTGCAACCAGTTAACTAACGCTCCGTTCCTGCCGAAGTACGCAATATGGGTTCGCAGCTAAGCTGAGCCTGTTCGTGTGCAGTGACATCGGGCTTCTAATTGGAGGGTGCTTTGTATTTTGGTGCTTTGCATTTATGCTTGTGCTGGTGTCACTTCTACTAGCGTGGGAGTAAGACAGGGCTCGCTTGGTTTGTGAAGCATACCGTTCTTGTCATACCTTCTACTTCTGAGGGGAAACGTTGGGCCCACTGGTAGCTAAAACTCAACTCTTGACATTATGGTAATCGAAGGCCCCGTCTCCTGGCACTATGGCAAGTTGACATTCAGATTGACACTACAGTAGAGAGCACGGTGTGTTTTGCGTGTTCCAACTATCCTGCTACTCTTCTAGGCGCCAGTGGAGAACCTTGGATCGGTCTGGCCCTTTCTGAACCCCTCAGTTTAAACGGGGATCTTAATCGGGCTGGTCTTCCAGTACCCCTGTTCTCCTCATCAAATACTCACCCCCTGTAATAGTGACAAATAGACAATAGTGGCTGACTGAACGAAGCAAAAGGCTCTGCAGTCTGTCTAGATAGTTACTCTCTCGATTGGCTCTGTTCATCGGCGTCTAGTCATATCCTGGGGACGACACACTGAGCGTGACAGGATCTTTTCAGCTGACCTTCTACCGAACAGATGCATTTTGTCACCTTCACAGCTGAAGGTGGCGAGATGTTGTGGAGCTGAGAGTATGGCCTGGGGGACGTCCTGCCCTCGACAATTCCAAGTAGCGAGTCTCTCAAACTTATAAGAAGGGCGTCGAATCCAGCTCAATCAAGTCCAGAGCTCCAACCATCATCTTACGCACTGTTTCATCAGCACTACCACTCCAAGTTCTTCAAAATGAAGTCTTCTCAGCTTAGTCTGTTGATCCTCCTCTTCCAAGCCGCCTCCATTCAGGCCAAGATGTACAAGAAGAATATCCCAACATTCGAAGTAGGTCCTGATGTGGTCATCACCGACAACAAGATCGAGTACGATGACCCGGACTGTGATCCCGGGTTTACATGCAGAACAAGCAAGAGCTGTGCTGCGCCGGGTGCCGTTCCCACTCTGACCAGCGACAAGAAGTACTTTGCTTGCTGCTTGAAGGGACTGAACCTTCTTGGTAGCCCGGAGACAGCATTCGACTGCTGTGCCGAGGGCCATGACCTTGCTGGCTCCGCCGAAGTTGGTTATAGATGCTGCCCAACTGGACAGATCTATGACGGCCTGATCTGCAAGCCGGTATGCGAGAATGGTAAAGTCCTTGTCGACGGCAAGTGTGTCTGCCCAAAAGACACAGTCGAAGGTCCGGGCGGGACTTGCCATGAGCAAATCTGCACTTCCGGATTAACCTCTGGTAAGCTCCTGCGACGCTTAAATTTCTCACTTTGATCATCTACTCATAGAAAACATTGTCTAGGAAAATGCTACACCTTCACCGCGCCCAACGGCAACACCCTAGGCTCCGGTGCCGACGGAATCTACTATGCCAAACCAGACGATATGAACTTCCACTACGGTAAATTCCAGCTTTGTCTCGACGAGAAGTGTGAAGGCGATCTCCCCCTCAACCCCCAGGACGGAGTGTACATTAGAGACCTGTACGGCGACGTCAAAACCGGTGCAAACAAGGGCCAATGGCTCAACAATGCAAAGGATGGCGCCCATATCGGCAAGACCAAAGATTTTGCTTTAGCTGGCAAATTCTCTTTGAGCAAGTGGCCATGCGGAAAGTATTGTCTTGGAGGCGTTGAGTGGGGTGTCGGTCCTGCTTGTCCTTCCCTGACACCCGCGATTACCTTCTTCTCGCAGGATCCGCAGATGTGTACCGCTTTCGATCTCACTGAGATCCCTTGTGATATCAAGGCGCCTGCCAACAATTGTATCTGGAAGAGTGGAAAGAACCAGTGCTGTGGTAAGGTTGATTGCAGTCTGTGATTGACTACTCAGCGAGTGTGATTTGCTATTTAGCAGGTTTTACTTGCGTTCTTGCTCATGTAGTGAATGGGGGACACTGTTTAGTTTGGAGGTCTAGTTGAAGTCTTGATAGTGGAGGTGATAATTGTAGTTAGCAGTTGGGCTAGTAATTGAGGTATCACTTTTTATCACCTATTCACGTAACATTCCCCATAGCCCAACCAATATGGTAATTACAGTAAAAACATCCAGAAAGAAACAAGTAGCTACCATACCCCAACATGACTTAAAACACAAATATACATTCTACATAAGCCCTAATAAGCCTAAGGCACCAAAACCCATAACAACACCACTGACTAAGCAACCCCCCCCAGACCCACATAGGCGGAAACAAGCAGCAGAATGTAGACCAACTCGCGACATCATCAGCAATCCCGCGATGATCCCGAGCCTCAATTCTCACGATTCCGAATAGTATCCCGGCACTTACGGCCAATTGAACCCGACTCTCATCCTGAGACCGGATATTCAGCTAGCCTCCAATCCAGAGAGTCCCGAAAAACGCACTTTATCTACAAAGCCACTCCGTAAAGCAACAACAACACACCAAGAACCAAGAATTCAACTGAAAGGAAAAAAGGAGGACCGAAAATGCCACCCACAAAACAAGAAATCTCCCTCTTGATCAATCCTCTGGTTCCGGAGAATGTGCAGCATAATAACCGAGTATGTTTTCCCTTGCCTTGCCTTTGTCCGGGGATGTCATGTTGTTCAAGGCTTAGACATGCCCTACCACCCCATCTAAAGAGAAAGAGAAAGATAGGGAAAGAGAAAGAGTACTAACAAAGCCCAGGTCCTCGCAAACCTCCACTCCATCACCTCCTTCCTCCTAGGTCTAACAGCCGGTATTCTCGCCCTGCACTCTGCGACAGGGTTCCTATTCTACTTAGCCGGTACGGTTCTCGTGTCCGGCGTTTTTCATATCTTCCTGCTGCAAAGCTCGAATGGTCAGGGCGCCGGTGGGTTCTTCCCCGGTCCGAATGTGGGTGAGATCGAGGGGATCAATGACAAGGGTATGGTGTGGGCTTCTGGGAGACAGATGAGGAGGAAGGACTCGTGGAGGGATGTGTGGCTTGGAGGTGGTGTCTTTGGGGAGGCGCTGTCTGGGTTCGTGCTTGGGTGGGCTGGTGTTGGGGGTGTTTTGAGGTGATTTTTCTTACTGTTTGTGGGAGCTAATAAGGGTCTTGCCAGGTGGTGCTCGATTTAGTAGAATGTGTTTGATTATGTGACTATCTGTCTATATTATATCTATTTGGTATCCTGAATGTGAGGATCTTATGAGTTATTGTAATCGGTGGGCTTGCTGTTGCTTTCTGGCAATATCTTGTTGGTCTTTTTGTAGGCGTCGATGTTGCCCTGTAGAGCGTTAGTAAACTGGCTGAACGGAATGGATAAGTAAACGAGGCAGGACAAGGGGAGAAAATACCTTCAACAACGCCCATAGATAGGGAACGTAGATCACTTCACTATGACTGCTCTCATCCACCGACCCGTCTCGCTGCTCCTCATCCTTCTTCGACTTCGGCTTAATCCACACATTACCAATAAACAACCCAGTAACAAGACTAAGTCCCATAATCGGCAAAACAGAGATATAAGCCCACATTATAGCATCCCTCCCCGCCGACCTGACACTCCTTTGTGCCTCAGCCGGTAAATCCGCAATAAACGCCAAAGAATTCGTATCATGCACATCAAGCCCCCCACCGGCACTTGCGCTCCCAGATACAACCGACGCCTGAGCGAATTTATTATTGAAAACACTCCCCATGATAGTCAAACAGAGAGTACCCCCGAACGGCTGCGCGAACCGCATCAACGACTGCGCAGGCGCAATCTTCTCCGGCCACACGCCCACCATATGCAATGTGGCAGGCATGAAGCGGAGTCCCGTCCCCGCGCCGGTTATGGCCATCATACCGTTGATTAAGCTGGTGTTTTGGGTGTGGATGGCGTATACTACCATGGCGAGGCCGACGGTGCTGACGATTGTGCCGATGTTAAGGGGGAAGAAGCTTTGGGCTGGCCAGACGTTGCAGAGGAAGACGGCGATGTAGACACCGACTATGTGGTGGTTTGAGTTAGCTTGTTTTGGGGAATGGATATAGGGGGAGTCAGGCAGGTAGTAGGGACGTACCTCCCATTCCGGGGATGTAGTATAGTAACTGTACGCCTGCTTTTGAGGCTGGGTATGCCTCTACTAGGGAGAAGTAGATTCCGATGTAGTAGAATATGGAATACATTGCTTGTGGTATGTCAGGATCTTTGCAAGTAGGTTTGGGGCTGATCGTGAAGTTTACCTGCTCCAGTGGAGAATTGCACGATTGCAAGCCAGATCGTGTCTTTTCTGGCGAACATGCTGTATGGCAGCATGGCCACCTGCTTTGGGAAGATACGAGCGAATATCCGGCCCGGCTCGAGGAAATACTCGTAGACGAAGAATAAAATGAAGCAAACACTGCCCACGACCAATGGGGCGAGGACCTGAGGCGCTGACCAGGGGTATGTAGCTCCACCCCATGCAGTTGCTAGGATGATGAGTCCAACACCGAAAATGAAGAGAACGGACCCGATAATGTCGACAGTTGCGAGAGCTGGGAGAATCCCTGACAGTCGAGAGCCCTTCTTGAACATTGTGCCTTCGACGAGTTCATTGCGCAACAAGATAAAGACTAGTAAATGGGCGATAACAGCGATCTATTCAAATTAGCAATTATGTCTCGAATGCAAGATAGTCAATCGTACAGGTATGGATATCACAAAACAGTATCTCCAGTTGGCCTGACCCAGTTAGTTTACCGGTGCATGGTATTCAACAATATAAGTGTCTTACATCTGTTAGATAACTAGTAGCCGTCAGCAAGATACTATCATAATCTGGAATCCTGGGATATCTTACCCTCCGACAGTTGGTCCGACAGCATAGCCTATACCCCCAACAAGGGTAAAGAGGGACTTGGTCTTTGCGCTTTCCTTCAGAGACACTTTGTCCGAGAGGATAATCATAACAACATTCATCAGCCCGGCGTCACTCACGCCCTGCAAGGCTCTTCCCAGTAGAAGCATTCCCCATGTTTGTGCAGCCGCACACAGCACACTTCCAATGATCATCAGAAACAGAGAGAGATGGAGGGTCTCGCCACGCCCGAAGACATCAGCGAACTGACCGAACATGGGGATGAAGGTGGTTGATGTTAACGTAAAGGCAGTAACAATCCAGTTTAGCTCGTCAAACTCATCTATAACAATTACTGTCAGCCCCAATAGATGATCAACGCTGAACAAGGAAACTCACTAAAATGGGAGGCTATGGATGGCAATGCCGTAGCGACGATTGTCAGGTCCAATGTTGCGAGTATGAACGGCAGACACAACCCAGCAATGAGCTTCCATCGATAGACGCGAGCATCATGCTTCTGTTTCTTGCAGACTTGACACTTTTCGTCGCTCTTCGGCAAGTCCCGAGGTACTAACACTCTATCCTCTTCTGTTATTGAAGCTGTTCCTTGAGAAGTCCGAGCATGTTCAGCAGACGCTCTGCTCCTGAGTTCAACCTGGAAAGGCCGTGAGTGTGGGCAAGCCTGCTTTTTTTCTGTAACAGGCTTTGGAGGACCGTTGTTCGGATTCTGATTCCTCGATTCTTTTACCTTTCGATGTATATATTTTGCTGCGATAAACATTTCGGTAACTTCGTAACTTCAACAAGAAATAAAACACGCTAGATTTCTGGATCTGACCCAGAAAGAAAGTGCAAGACCATTCTGTTTATATGCGATTTCGAAAACACCAGGCAGATTTTAATATCAAACTAAATTGGGTATGCTCGTCAGACAGTGCCAGCATAAGCCACAGCGTGGAGAGCCTCTCAGATCTAAGTTAGGGCTTGGATTGGCCTGCCAAACCCAATTACCGGATACGATCTTGACGAATTCGGAAAGCTTTTCGGAGCTAAACCTAAGCAAGTTAGACGTACGAATTGATTACTTTGAAGGGTTCAAGCTTTCGGCGGAGTATCTCCGAAGCACAGCCTCATCGGCCTAGAATCACGAACTAAATGTTGCCCTACAAGTCAGGTACCAAGATTTTACGAAGGGTTATAGTCATTGATTGGTTGATAGGAGAATACGAAGTGACATGGTTTCCCAAACACAGCCTATACTTCTAGTAGTATACAACTCGTAGTCACATTAAGGCGTAAAATTGCACAGTTGTCGTAGGCAGCAACTTAGGGTACAAACCTTATTGACTGAGCCCTGATGATTAACAGAAGTACTTATCCATTTCAGGATAATTGTTAATCTGGGTACGCTGCGTCATTGCGCCATATTAGATCGATAATGTTCAAGCTAGTAGTTATAAGGATATGGACCCTTGATATCAAGTGACGGTGTTGGAACAATTAGGACAATAGTTTCCCCCAGTATGACAGGAATTAATGCCTCAGGCCAACAAAATGAAATTCCCCGCTGTTAGCATTAAGTTATCCTTATTGTGAATTAACACTAAACAGGGGTCGTCGAAACATGGAATGACATGCTTATGAACCATGGGCGGCACGGAACAAACGAGATCCGCGGGGGTGGAATGATCTGATATCATACGATTCTTGTCCTCCCCAAACCAGCTCGTATATTATCTTATCTATATTACGACCATAGTCATAACCACCTATCTTGACAACTGGAATATGAATCTACGACCAGTCCAGTTACTACTTCATCCTAAACAAAATAGTATTTTCAGATTCTTCACAACAATGACCACCTCATCGTACCCGTTGTCGTCGTCACTGACACATCCCCAACCCGTGATAGTGGTTGGGTCCGGACTTGCCGGATTATCTGCAGCGACACAACTCATCTCACATCAAGTCCCTGTCATAATGCTCGACAGGGCCGATAAGCCCGGTGGTAATAGTATCAAAGCTTCGTCAGGAATAAACGGGGCCCCGACGAGATTCCAGCCTGACGATGCCAGTGATTCTCAAGAGCTTTTTCTCACCGACACGATCAAATCAGCGGGAGATGTCTTCGCATCTTCCCTGGCTGAGGAACATAAAAGGCGGGAATCACTTATTTCCACCCTCACTACTTCGTCTGCTGAGGCGGTTTACTGGCTTACCGATGACAAAGGCGTCGACCTGAGCAAGGTTTGCCGGTTGGGGGGACATAGTCGGCCGCGGGCTCATCGTGGGGCTGGTCAGCGACCGCCTGGGATTTCTATCGTCAGTACGCTTTTGGATTCGTTGAAGGCTAGTTCGCTGTTTCAGCTTCGGTCCGGGGCTAGAGTTATGAAGGTGTTACGCGAGGCGGATGAGGTCTTAGGAGTTCAGTATACAGGTGGTGAGAAGGCCGAAACGGATCATAATACTACGACTACGCTTAATGGGCCGGTTGTGTTTGCGAGCGGTGGATTTGCAGGAGATGCGCATGGACTGCTAGCCAAGTATCGGCCGGATTTGGCTGGAATACCTTCGACAAACCAAGCTATTGAGGGATCACAGCCACTCCTCGAGGATATAGGCGCTGGGTTAGTGGATATGGAGCAAGTTCAAATCCATCCGACCGGATTTGTGGATGAGAAGGAACCCTCGGCGTCTGTTAAAATTCTTGCGGCGGAGGCACTCCGTGGAGAAGGCGGAATTCTCCTTTTGGGGAATGGCAACCGGTTCGTGAACGAGTTAGAAACTCGAGAGCACATTACAGATGTTATCATGCGCTCAGCGAAACCATTGGAGACAGGCGCACGTCAATGGGACGTTAACCTTCTGTTGGACGAAGGGACCGCCGCCGCTTTGGGGTCGCATATGGGATTCTATCTGTGGAAAGGGCTGATGCGCAAGACAACAGTGCACGAACTTGATTCATCGATACTCGAAACCATCAAGTCATATGCAGATATTGTCTCAGGCAAACAACACGATGAGTTTGGCCGTACAGCTTTCGGGAACTGGACTTTGAAGGACGTGACACCGGATTCTGTAGTCTATATTGGGAAGGTCACCCCTGTAACTCACTTCACGATGGGAGGAGCTACAATCAATGAGCGCAGTCAAGTGTTAGATAAGGACGGAAGCCCCATCAAGGGTCTCTGGGCTGCAGGAGAGGTCACCGGTGGTCTACACGGTCAGAATCGCTTGGGAGGGTCGTCTCTTCTGGAGTGTGTCGTCTTCGGAAGGATAGCGGGCAATGAAGCCGCGGCTTTCCATAAAAAGCACTATGCTTCCTGATGTACGATTCTTTGTTGATAGTGGAAATTTATTGTTTTTTCTAGTCCAACTCATGAGCGGTGATTGTTATACATGCAGGATCATTCCTCCTTTTTCGGTGGCTCCACCCCCAATGCTAGCTCTAGCTCTGGCTCACACTTTTTCATAGCCTTCTGGTACCCTTCCCTCTCTCCAACACGCTTAAGATACTTGACCACATTCTCATACTCCTCCAGACTGTAGGGGAGCCAATACCGCGCCGTGGTAAGCACGAACACAGCCATCACATCCGCCACCGTAAACTCGCTACCGGCCAGCCACTGGTTGTCACGTAGTCTTTCATTGAGCGCTGCGAATGCCTTCCTAAACCGGTTGTTTGTGATGGTCATAGGGAAGCTATCCCGACTGATGTTGAGAGAGCGCAGCGACATAGACTGCATTATGGTGGGCATAAATGTCCCATTGGACCAGTGCCACCAGTACAAAAAGTCGGCATAGGCTGGGTGCGTCGGAGGCAAGAACAGCTTCCCCCCACCGTACTTGTGACAGATGTATTCAATACATGCGCCGCTCTCAGCCAGGGTCAAGTCGCCGTCCTGGATGATGGGCGCGGTCTCCTGAGGATGCAGAGCTTTGTACTCGGGTGGGGCTAGGAGGGGTGCCCGCTTGTACGTCTTCAGCTCATAATCGATAGCCAGTTCTTCACATAGCCAGACAACACGCTCTGACTGAGAGATGTTGAGATGATGAACAGTGAGAGTCATGGTCGTGGAATTCTCTGAGACGCGAGCGTGATACAGTGAGGTCACAAACTAGTAGCTTTTAGTGCGAATTGGATTTTTCTATGTGATGATCTGAAGATTTGGCGTGGAAGAGGTGGACGAGTGGGGATCATATACTCTTCCACACAGCCTGCCAAGGGGCCACTATTCTCCTTCTGAGCCTATCCCCGTGGCACTTCAGTTGATACTACTTGTGTTAGTCCGATACGCTCTAAGGCACCGCGATTATGGGCCACTGCGGGGACCGGGGCCGGGCTTAACGGATTTTAGGGCATGCCCACTGCCGAGACTTCCGTGAGACCCCGAAGTGGTCCATGAGCTGTATCTCAAGAGGTTCCTCGACCAACTGCAAGTCATGAAAGTCAACTTATCGAGATTGACCAGTACTTCTTAAGATAGCTGTTCTAAGCAGGTCTGAAGATATGGTTATGCAATTTAGAGATTCTCTCGCATATGTTCATTCTGTCTTGGCTTCTCTATGTTATGCTGTTGCCGGGGCGTGTCGATTGAGTTCATTCTGGCCGTTGACACCAGTTAGGAGAAGGGGGGGGGGGGAAAGAAAAAGAAAAGAAAAGGAAAGGAAAGGAAAGAAAGATGAAAAAGATAGAGACGAATAAATAGGACGGAAGCATCCTTATATACCTAATGACAAGCCAGGCAGGTAGGTCATAGTAGGTCTTGTGCTGATATCTACCTTACGTAGTTGTACAATAAGTATGGATATTGAGGACGGAATTTTCATGAGTATTATCATATGGAACAAATCGAATATAAAGATTTAGAAAACCTTCTATCTCTTTATTTCTCTAGGTGGCTTTTCTTTTTCTTGACACTCTAACCTTCCCATCTCAGAAACCAGAAATCATGATATGTACATGGACCCCTCATGAGATCGTTATCATTTAATTGTTGGGATGGATCTTGTAACCCAGGCCAATGTGCATATAAAGGCAACAATTCAGACAGTTCACATATATACCAATCAGAGACTTAGTTTTTATTCTCCTTTATTTCGCAACTACAGTCACCAGCGAAATCTCTGTCATTCGTCTTTTAAAGTGCTATAGCGGTTATAAAATATACTACCAAGCCAATAAATTCAAGCAAATGAATTAGTGATTAAATCTGGCAGCTAAGGATCTATAGAAACCACAATTAAGCTAATTTCGCAGCTCACTGCAGCCTTGTTGGGTATGTATATTTGAATAGTGCATCGCAGGAGTAGTTCTATACTTGTCTACTCCGGATTTTCTCTCGTTTCTCTAAAAGAAGGGAGCAGAAATAGGATCAGTCCATCGGATAGATATGGGATAATTTTGCGATAGATCCCATAGAACTCCGTTACATAGCAGCAGCAGCAGCAGCAGCAGTAGTAGTAGTAGTAGTAGTAGTAGTAGTAGTAGTAGTAGATCCTTCTACCATCAATTCTTGAGTGTAGTAGGGCATCATCATGCAGCTCAATCATGATGTGACAAGTGTACAGTAGATTTATCAATTCAATTTTACCCCGCCGACAAGCACTGATGAAGAGTAGTGGGTTCCCCTACTTACTGATAAATTTTTAATTTGCCTTGGAAACCCTCCCCAGAGTGGAATTTTCTTATTACCTGCCAGCTCCTTCTTCCTGAGCTGCTCGATTGGCCAGCCACTCACCCCAAACAAAGTACCTTCATCCGGACGCCGCTATCTTTGGCTGCAGAAAACGAGCATGGATCAGTCGTGAACTAACATGGTGGAAATTCTGCCGAGGTCAAATGCCTTGAATGTTTTATAAATGCGGCTCAAGTTGCGTGGTACGGCCTCCGTCCTTACAGAATTAAGGCTGTGGGGAGTGCTCATAGATCCGGCCGTTGCTGTGTAATTTGGAGTGATGACTATTTCAAATCACAGGTAGTAGGGACCAACAAGAAGCGGTTGTCGCCATTCTCGCTGTGGGATGAAAAAGTGGAAGGATGATATTACTTATTGCCTTCTTGGGGTTTTCTGCGTTAGATTTGGCCCAAGCTATAGTAACAGTATGTGAACCCCTATACATAAAGGTACCCAGTGGTTCTATCTACCCTGGTATGAGAAGCTAGGTACCTTTATGTATAGGGAGTCACATACTTTTAAGACCTCCACTGTAATGGTAAGCAGGTATAATGATAATTTCACACCTACCAGGGCTCTTGTTCAGCTAAATTTGGTGAATTCTGACGCGCCCGCTTTGGGGGAAGGGGTGGGACATTCATTCATTCAATTTTAGGATTCCGGAAAAATCAATATTTACATGGCGTTCTCGTCATTGTGATAAATCTCTGTCACATGATTGTAACCTTGCTTTATGTTCCTCTTACCACCATATTTCACCCACCTTACCATCCACTACCTGTAACTGACAGTCGGCTGCAAGTCTTTGATCCCCCAATCATCCCTTTTTGTTTAGCTTCCTTTAATAATAACAGGAAACATGTCACGCGAGCAAGTGAACTGGCTATACGAGGTCGTTACTGGAGGAAAGGACAAGCCCTTCGTCTTAAGTAAGGACGGTTCAGAGGGAGATGTTATGGCATCATATCTTTCAGGACATGGGATTACCCTCGTTCCTTGGGATATCGAAGCGAGCTCTGTGGATTCTTCTTTAGTGACATCGGTCCCGTTTGCCCCGCTGTCTCGTTCGATAGCACACAACCACCGTCCTAGAGCGGACATTCCGTTCCCTGACTACATTCGGCCGGAAGATAGGAGCGACACCGAGGATGACCGGTGTTGGTCCCCTGAAGATTGTTCTGGTGACGCGGTCCAGTTCTTCTATCAGTGGGCTCTTGCCGGGCGAACTCTCCCGCGCCGGCATACGTGCTTAATGGATTTCTGCGGAGTACACCCCGTAACGTGAATACGATGCCTTTTACTTTACTCCCTGGTGATTGCTTTTTGAGGTTCAGTCACTGATGTATTGTAATTTCTAGGTTCCCTAATCCTTTCTTGCGTTGTTGTCCAGATATAGGATGGCATCCACCTCATGGAGGTCACTGGGAAATTAATTTTTTCCTTGAACCTGAGAAGCAAAATGCCTCACCACTTCCCCATATTGCAGTGGGGTCTTCCCAACCAGTGAATGCTAGAGATAACTCCATTCTATACGGGGAGCTTGCCGTAATTCTTGCCGTTATGCATGGCCGTGTCAACCAGCCAAAAGTAGAGAGTGAGGAGGAGATGGCGAGTCTGTTTGATACGCAGCAGGGGGTCTTTGAGAAAATCTGCCATGAAAACCCAGCCTTCCCAAACGAGCAGACATTTCCGCTTCTTCTCTTCTCCTTTGTGGGTCCACAGCATGCAAGGATACTCTGTGCTTCCATGAACCAGAGGCAGCTGATGGTTCGGATGTCGAAGCTTTATAGCTTCGAGAGAAAGGAGGAAGCTCCACTTGAACTGTTCACGTCCTGGCTTTTTTCGCGCCCCGTGGTGGAACCTTAGCTGTGTTTGAGCGCCATCCCGGTGGAGTCTGAAATTTCAGTTAGCCTACGGGGTTTGAATTTAATATCCCAGCAGAATTGGTGCCTGTGTCGAATCGACCAGGCTTCCAATGGATGCGGATGCCTGTTTCGCATCGATCAGGTCTCCAGCGATGAGCTCGCACCTCACCGTGGTGCTGGAGTCTAGTAGCCTTGGCAAATGGCCTGTGGTGAAGCTAAGACGAGCTCTACCTTCCTATTTGGCGTCTATCACATTCTATCTATATACTACACCTGCTTACTATTTAGCTTGGGCCAAATTATATCTTTAGAAACTCGCCGGGCTAGATTCTGTTGATCCCAGGCCCCATAAAAAATCGAGTCATCTCTAGTCCCTTCAATTATTTCTTCTTGTAGACTAATGAGTGCGTGACCACCCTCGCCGTAGATTATTGGAATTGTAACATCGAAGGAGTTCTATTTCAATATACACAGCCCAAGTTTCTCTCCAAAGTCGATTAGGAGAGAATTGCCCTTGAGGAGTTTATAAAGGAAATCGAAGCTATTTGATAAAAAGCTTCTACCACTATCACCAACAGTTTTTATTTTTGCTCTGAGACCCTGATCTAGACTAGAACTCCTTTTTAAAGCCCAGGATATGCGTTGTGCGATACTCGTATCCGTCAATGCGGTTGTCCTTCGTAGGAACGAACGAGGTATACCAGCTGCCTTTTCGGTCATTCGTAATAGTTTCATATTTTTCTTGCTACCGGGAGAAGTCCACCTAGCATTGTAGAAGTGAAGCTCCCTAGGCACCAGGAGTTCTTGTAATGCCCACCCCCTCTGGAACCAACGGCTAACGGTGAACTCCATACAAGGATCACTGATTTCGGCCGTGACATTAGCAAGATAGGCATAACAGATTGTAGCCTTCCTATACCGTCGAAATATGGGGTTGATAGCTTCACCAAGTATCACTGAGTCGGATTTATCAATGCAGCAAATATTAACCCAGACATAGTCAAGGCCATCCTTTTCTGCCTGTTTGCAACAACCTTCGAGTTTGATTTGCCAGTGTTTGACACTGGTATTATCAGCATCCTCCTTGGTAATGTCGCCTCGTTCTGATTATTTCCCCATGTATGTGACAGTATAGCATAAGAGGGCACTTTTTCGTTGAGCTCTTCCAAACGATGGGTGTGCACATTGATAAGATGCATTGTGGGATCGCGCAGAAGATCAAGAGTGGGGTGCGCAGAGTCATAGACAGCTAGGTGACAAGTGCTAGATCTCCTCAAACTTCTTCAGCTGTAGCTGTTTTACTAGGTCAATAATGATATAACTAATAACCTAGTACAGAAATACTACTGATCTATATTATAGAACTTCTGTAGATTAATAAAGTCAAGCAGCATAAGAACAATAGGTTGTATTCAATGTAATCATGCTTACGCTAACACATGAACTAACAACAGTAGATGAAAATTAAGGTAAAGAAGTTTACAACCTCACTTAGCTTTATGGTTTGTCAGTGTTATAGACAGCTATTCCTTCGCGAGAGCAAGTGTACAGTCTCCATCAAGGCGTAGAGATTATTTTCGCTACACCCACCTATTTGACTATTTTGTATTATGCGCTAATGCATTTGTATCTTTAATTATATTTACCAAGATATGTATAATATTTATCCAATACATCTTATGAAAAGTCCAGACTCAGGTTATGCACACATAATCCACTATAAAAAGGAGCTCGTCTTAGCTTCACCACAAGCCATTTGCCATCGGCTACTAGACTCCAACACCACGGTGAGGTGCGAGCTCATCGCTGGAGACCTGATCGATGCGACACAGGCACCCGGATTATAAATCAACGGGATTTTAAGGGATAAGAGGTTTGTTTCTAAAAGATCTCCACGCGATGGGACAAACATGGGTCTTTCAGTGGGCTACAGAAGTAGCAGGGCGATGATGATTCGAGCAAAATGCTCCATATGACTTGCCACCTGGATCTTCCAGGGGCCGTATCTGCGCATGTAGGCAAATCCGGCATGCGCGATACTCCCGGGGCCTCCATTGAGATAGCGTAACCATTCCCGGTTGTACTCAAAGACCGAGATATAAACATCGACCCCATTCTTCGACACAAGAACTCGCTTATCATTTCCTGGTCCACCGGGGTGCTCCCTCACCCATGCCACCATCTGTGCCACCTCTTGCATATCAACGGCTGGGGAATGATGCTCCCGCCGCATTCGTTTACACTCGATGAGTGCCAGAATCCGGCGACTGAAGGTATCCTCCAGTTGGCCATCGGTATATGCAACGAACTGCCTTTTGCGTCGTTGTGTACTAAAGTCTGCCGTCAGCTTGATTCTATCAGCCGTCCATTGGCGTCCAGACTGAGGAACCAGATCCGCGATAGCTTGTAAAAAGGTAACGAAGGCAGCGTTAACACTGGCTTCGCTCCGAGCAGACCCGTAATGAGCCGCGTCATATATTACCTGCTGTTGCTGGATAGCTGGAACCCTGAACAGCCTGTCGTGTCCTCTCCAAGGTGCATTCCAGACCGGCTGCGACTGCCTGGTGGTGACATCTGAGATATAATCTCTGAACGCCGGATCACTCAGGTACTGATTGGCTTGCTGTATCAGATTTGCTATGCCAAGGGTCTGGTACCTGACCTGGTTTCGGGAAACAATGGGGGGCAGGACGGTCCTAAGAAGAAGAAAATGCTTATAGCTGATTTGAGACGCGGAATGCAGTTTCGTATTCATTCGCAGGGATTGGTTCTTCACCTTGTGTCTCCCAGCGTACTGTTTCCACTCTCCTTTAGTCCGGGGCAAGAGGCCATTAGCCATCTTGATAATTAAGAAGAATATTTCTCGAAAAGTCAAAGTAGAATAAGGGTGTGACAATGTCTGGTACAAGGAGGAAGGAAGCAAACAAGACAGGAGGACTCAAAACTTCAAGAATCAAACAAAAAAGATGCATCTTGTGTGAGTCCCTCAGGCTGGGGAGGCGAAAATCAGTGAATAAATGTCCCTGGCTGTTTTTTTGTTTCTGTTGCAAACCCCCAGGTCCCTCTCTGTTTTCTTTCTCTTCTTCTCTCTTCTGTTTCTCTCTTCTTTTTCTCTCTCCTTCCCACAACAACCTGCTTCCAATCTTTACAGCTCTGCTGAGGAACCAAGGATAGTTAACTACGTACAAAGCGACAAGCTCTTTCAATATCTCCCTCCGCCCCCCCCTTACGTTTCTTCTTTTTGTGCTATGTCTGGTATCCAGGATAGCAAGTGGGCTAATGCCCCGACCACTGCTGCAGCCGCTGGAGCTGGGGGAGACCCTAACCGCGGTGGTCGGCGTGGTCGAGATGGCAAGAAGCCCCCGACTGACCGCGTAGTATGTCCCAGAGATGAGGCTATTTCGAATGGACTCTACTGACTATTACAAGACGGTCAAAACGAAGCCTTGGGTCTGCAGAAACGGATGTGGTACCCAACATCCGGGAAAGGTATGCCCCATGACCGAACTCGGTCAGCAACTGTGGACTCTCCGTGAGCAGTACCTGGCAGAGCAGGTAAGAATGAACGTATAATATTTATCATTTGAACAAAGCCAACATTGAACACAGGATAGGATCGTGGCGGCTGCTATCACCCCATTTCGTCCTGCCTCTAACCCCCCTGCCGACCTCTCCGGTGCTTCGGCTCCTTCCCGTCGTCGTCGTCGTGGGGCCCCTAGTGGTGCGAATACGCCCACACCTGGTGGCTCTAGCATCCGCCCTCTGCCCGCGGCCGCCGATGGAAACAATAACTCCTCGGCTGGGAACCGGAACGAGGGAGGCGAAAGGCAGCTCAATCACCAGCAGAGACGTTCGCGTGCTCGGCTGCAAGCCTATCGAGCCCGGCAGCGGCAGCAACAACAACAACATACCTCCACTGGAGATACCCAGGACACCGAGATGGCCACGGCCCCAGCAGGCGAGAATCAGCCAGAGACCATCAGCGCTCCTGCCGCTGCTCCTGGTGCTGAAGCGTAGGTGATATTACGACGTTATTATAGCCATAGTTTAACTGGCTAAATGTCTTCTGCAGCCTGGAAGGCGAGGAATCATCCGTCCAAACTCTATGTGTGGTAAGTCTTCTTAAAACTCGAATATTTGACGTTGGCTAACCCCCAAACTCTCAATAGAGAAGTAAGGATCCCTCTTGAGGACCTTTAAAATCCCTAGCAGAACTGGTACCTGTGTTGTATCAATCAGGCTTCCAGTGAATGCGGGTGCCTGTGTCGATATCGATTAGGCCTCCAGCGATGAGCTCGCACCTCACCGTGGTGCTGGAGTTCAGTAGCCTTTGGCGAAGCTAAGACGAGCTCGGGTGTACAATAATTATTTTGCCCTGAAGGAAGACTAGATTACTTGCGGTCTTTGCTAGTTCTATTTCCTTTGTTGTTTTTATCTTAGAGCAGAGCCCGCAGATTCAAGTTGATAATGCCATGTATAAGGGTTTATACCCAGACGTTAATAACAACCAACACAGCCAGTCCTTCGCTTGGAGGTTTGCACAGAATTGCTTTGGATAACTGTTCTACCCAATGGCGTGGAACTTTTCCAATCTTATAATCAATCAGAAGAAGCGACCACCTGAAGTTAAGTAACAGCTGTCGTTCAATTGCTTAGAAAGTATAAAAGTGAGCAAAGCACATGTATATAGGAATAATTGTACCAACCACCGTAGCGATGATTCTTACCGACGAACTCAACCATCCGAAACGTGTCATCTTATGACTCCGTGGAAACGACTTCCTCCCCAACTTTTGCCTGGAAGATTTAGACGATGCTATTAGAGCATATTTAGTCTCTTCGGGGCGTTCAGTCAATGAGGTTCACCAAAATATTCACACTATACATCAAGGACTCCCATATTCATTGGTACTGGGATTTTTCTATATAAGCATTGATCTTCACATGGACCTGCTTTAGGAATCCTGACCTGAATGAAGTGCAGCACGAACCCTACCGTATTCGCCGGGCTGAGGACGGTAAAGTGTATACTGATCTTCTGAGAATTTAGCTAACATTTATATAGGTCAGCCCTCAGGATTCAGAACCCAGTTAAAGACCAGAGCTTGCTACGAATGACAAGAGTCTACAGTGATATTTTTTATCAATGAGGAGAAAAGTGAGTCTATCTGGAAGAGGGGCAATTTTTTCCAGCGGTTAGCGTTTACTGAATTCATGAGTTAATCTTATGTAACCACAGTTCTTAAGGATTAATATGATTATTGAGATTGCTAAAGGCTCATACTAAAAGTTTTCTCTACTAAACGTCGTGGACATTGTATATAATCTTGGGGTTAAGTTTCTGATTGGTGGCATTTCACCAACTAATCTTACTTAGGTAAAGTCACCTGAAGAGGGGTTTGTTTATCAGGCTGTCACTGTGGTGTGTACTAACTTATCTCTTGTCGATAGACAACTCTGCGATACCCGATAACTTCGAATTTATGTACTACAACCCCCCTCCCCAAACTGACCTACATGTGCTGAGCGAAGCCACGACCTTCGTCATGACTACACAGTGGGCTGGGTTTGTGCCCTTCCCGTCGAACTCGCAGCTGCCCAGAAGTGCTCGATGAGAAGCATGGTGGCCTAGTAACAGGTGGCGAAGACAACATATATACCCTGGGCCACATAGATGAACATAACATCGTCATTGCTTGTTTACCAGAAGGCCAAATGGGAACAAACCCAGCTGCTGCAGCTGCAGCTCGAATGCAGTCAGCCTTCCCATCAATCCGATTCGGGCTCATGGTTGGCATCGGCGGAGGGGTTCCATCGACAAAGCCTGATATTCGACTTGGGGATGTGGTGGTTAGCAGGCCGGAAAATGGCCATGCTGGGGTAGTCCAATACGACTTTGGAAAGAGCACTCCAAGTGGTTTCAAGAGAACGGGGTTTCTTAATACGGCCTCCCAAGATCCTCCAAACTGCTGTTTCACACCTGAAGGCTAAACATATGCGCGGGAAAAGTCAATTTTCAAAGTACATTCGAGAATTTGCTCACCACCCAGCATTTACTCGAGATCATGCAGGGCCCGATGTCCTGTTTAAATCTCACTATAACCATGTGGGAGGCACTACATGCGAAGGCTGTGATAGGGAGAGAATACTGGGAAGACCAGCACGTGATCAATTGGGCCCTGAAATCCACTATGGAACTATCACGTATGGTAATCATGTGATGAGAGAACGAGATCGAGTAAGCTCACTTCTTGGTGGGGTACTTTGTTTTGAGATGGAGGCAGCAGGGCTGATAAATGAGTTTCCTTGTCTCGTGATACGAGACATATGTGTTTACTCTGACTCCCACAAAAACAAGACATGGCAGCCATATGCTGCGGGTGTTGCAGCGGCATACTCGAAAGAGCTACTATCCGTTATACCTCCACTTGAAGTGAGGCAGTCACCTGTTGTTGGAAAAATCGCCGACAAGCCGACAAGTCAGTATGCCAGCTATTGCTAGGGGGGCAATGGTACATGATCTAAGTCTTCAATAGGTGCCAAGAGATTCTTCACGGTTCCATTTCCAAAGAGATGATAAATTTGTCGGCCGTGAAGCTATAATGGCTAACATTGATGACAAATTTCAATCAGCCGCGTCACACAACCAACCACCTTAGGGTTGCCTTGGTGGGTATATGTGGAATAGGGTATGTCAACGTGCAGTCTATTTTCTCGACTGGAGTGCTTGATCTGAACAAGAGAAAGGAAGTCTCAGATTGCGATTTAATACGCTTACATAGCGCGACAACGTAACCCAGAGCTGTCCGTATTTTGGGTTTATGTTGGGAACGCAGCACGCTATGAACAGGCCTACAGGGACCTTGCAAACGAGCTTGGCCTTCCAGGGCGAGATGATCCTACTGTGGACATACTCAAGATAGAGTCTCAGTGGCTCTCTGATAACACCAGTGGGCAGTGGCTGATGATTTTAGATAACGCGGATAATGAGGATCTTTTCACGCAGGAGATCGAGGTGGGAATGAGGCCAAATTCGCCCAATACAAGCGCAAGGGCGCTCCTTATCACTTCTATTACTCACACAGCAAATGGATCGGTTATTATTACATCCCGGAATTCAACAGCAGCCCGGAAACTTCTCGGTATACATGACAACATTATTCCTGTTGACGTGATGGATGAGGCCAGTGCTTTGGACCTTCTACAAACGAAGGTTACTCTTGATGAACAGTCACTGATCGATGCTCGAAGGCTCCTCCAAGACCTAGAATATATACCCCTTGCGGTAATTCAAGCTGGCTCATATATCCAAGAAAGGTCCCCAAGAATCACAGTGGGGGACATATCTCAAAATGCTACAAGAGAGTGAAGCAAACTTGGCTACGCTACTTGACAGTATGGATATTCAAGATTCCAGGCGTGACTACAGTTCCCAGCATGTGGTTACAGCAACCTGGCAGATATCCTTCCGGCAGATAAAAGCCTCTAAGCCTGTGTCGTCTGATCTACTTGCTTTGATGAACATGTATGACCGGCAGGGAATCCCTGAATACTTATTACGACAGAACATGACTCAACTACAATTCGAGGATGCAATCCATCCGCTGATCAGCTTTTCACTCATTAAGGAAAGCGGAATCCAGCAGCAGTCTTTTGAGATACGCCGTCTTGTGCAGATCTCAATCAGGAGCTGGCTATAATCCAATAACCAATTGGACTTATGGACTGAAGAGTCTGCAGAGGTAATCGCAGCTATTTTTCCATCAGGAGAATTCGAGTCATGGCCAGAATGTCGGAACTCAATACCGCATGCTAAGGAAATAATTTAATGCGCCAAGCCACAGAAAACAACTTTCCAAGCATAGAAAACAAACCCGAAAAACAAAGGTCAGGTGGCATCAACGCCTCAAGAGGAAAGTCATGTCCCAACCTAAGGATGAACTTCCTACAGGTGATCACGAATCACTAATGTGGGCAACAATTGGAGCTCACGCTGGCCGGTATTTATACTTTCAAGGCAAGTATGAAGAAGCAGAGGCGATGCATCGATATGCGCTTATGGATCGAGAGAAAGTACTAGGCCTGGGCCATCATAATACATTTAACAGTGTTAATGACCTTGATTTAGCCCTTGCTCACCAGGGTAAATATCAAGAAGCAGAGGTGATACTTCGACGTGGTCATGTAGGCTTAGAGAAAGTACTAGACTTAGACTATCCTGACATGTTTACCGGTGCTAATAACCTTAGCTTACTCTTTAGAAGTTAGGGCAAGTATCAAGAAGCAGAGGTGATATATCGATATATGCTCAGGGGTCGTAAGAAAATATTAGGTCTAGATCATCCTGACACGCTTACCAGTGTCGATAATCTTGCCTCAGTCCTTGAAAGCCAGGGCAAGTATGATGAAGCGAATACTATCCATCAGGAAGCCAAAGGTCGAACAAGCTACTGACCTATCGTTGGTGAGGATCTTTTTCTGCTGTTCACACACTGGTTGTTAAGTTTGATTTTCTAATCACTTTGTAAAAGGGGAGTTCTGGGATGCTTCGTCCTGTTTTATCTGGGCGAGCGTGGCGTTGAGCTCCAGAAGACGCTGGACATGCTTAGATCCCACCACGGTGAGTACGCAGCCGATCTTCCACTAGACAGGGTCAGGAGTAGTAGCCCTGTCGCTCTGGCTAGGAAAGTCACTGGGAAATAGCTGTGGGTCTAGGTGTTAAGTTATTGTATGTTCTTGTCGTTTACTGGTATGAAATGTTGTTCGAGACAAGTTTGCAAAGATTTTGGAATAACAACGCCTCTAAAGCAGGATTAGATGCTTATTTGATAGAGAGGCCAGAGTTCTTGTCACACCTTGACTTAGCCACGTGTACTGAAAGTTAGAGCTACTTTTGAAGACAAGGACCAAATGCTTTGAAAACTGCACTTGTATGGATGTATATGTGCATCAACAATAATCTATATATATATATATATACACAAAAGCCAGATGTCAGGGGTATATGTAGGTGCCTATCAACGATTCCAACCACCTTAAATCAAAAGCAACAGAGAGTAGGTGGACTCGCTTGAAACAAACATTATATAACAGAAGTCAAAGCCCTTCTCCGGGCGGTATAAAAGTGGACTCCGACCAGGGAGTATCATATGTGGCAGAGAATATAAGAAAAACCGACTATGCATCAAGGACATTCATGTTAGGATCTGGGTCCTCGCCCGCGTTGGCCAAGGCGCTCTGCAGTGCACTAGTCAGGTCGATGTGGAAGAATGGCCGGTTAAGGCCCTGCACCATAGCGACCCTGCGACGACTGCGGTAAGCCTTGCTATCCTTCAGGTCCCGTTGCAACTTGTCATCCTGGGTGCTACTAGCATCGGACGATTCTTCGATACCGTGTGTCTCACGCTCGGTGGTCTCTGAATCGTGCTTGAGGCCATGCTCGAGGTCTTCGCTCTTGATATTATGCTGGACGTGTTCGTTGTTCACCATCTCTGCATGAGCTGCGGCAGAGGCACTACCTTCGATCTCAGCCACGCTGAAAATTGGTTTCCATCTGTGAAATCCGTCACCCGAGTCAGGAGATGGGAAGCCGAACCCAGCTGCTGCAAGGGCTCGTTTCGTCCAGCGGTTGTTGATATGAGCAAAGTGCCACTGTACAGTCTTGGGGGAAGCGTAGAGGTCGAGTTGGTTGCGGACATCGATGAGGTTCTGGACCGAGGTCACATCAACATTATTGACGGACGAGAAGTCAAGAATGACGGCCTGCAGTATGGGCAAATGCGACCGGTCTTCTTCGGGCTTGCCCTTGCGAGGGCCTGGGTTGTTCCATGGTCGATCGCCCGGTTTACCGTAGGAGAACGGATTTGTGCGGCGTGTATGCCTGAAGATAGTCTGGACCAAATAATCGGTGTAGTGATTGGCATTGGGGTAGTTGAATCCTTCAGAGAATCGGTAGATGAAGATACCAGGGTAAGGTTGCTGCACCTCGACATCGGGGTTCGAGCCGTCCGTGTGGTTGATAGGCAAGAAGATAGACCGGCTCAATCCGTTTTTATCATCGCTGGTGGCATTAGGGGAGTTGGCAGACCCATATTTCCCATCATCCTGTACCAGATGGTCACCAATCACCGAGTGGACGGTGACTCTTCCTAAGAATTGACCGCGGGCCTTGGCGACGCGGAACAGCAGAATGGCAACAGACACACAAACGGTACAGTAGATGCCGATCTCAATTGTGGTGAAGACGGTAACGATAACACCGATAAAGAAAATGATCGCATCAAGAGGGGACACGCGCCAGAACTGGTAAACGGTGTTTGGTGGGGTGATGAGGTCACCGACCGCATGAATAATGACACCAGAAAGGGAGGCTTTCGGGATGTAGAAGAAGACAGCGGGCAGAGCGTAGATGGCGAGGAGGACAACAACCGCAGTAATAACACCGGCGAGTGGAGTGCGGACACCAGCTTTCGATTTGATTGCAGTTCGGGAGAACGATCCAGTCGCTGGGTAACCGCCAAGGAACGGTCCAAGCAAGTTCGACACACCAATAGCGACTAGCTCCTGAGAGGGATCAATTGTGTAGTTGTTGACACGGCCGAAGGATTTCGAGATCGCAATGTGTTCGATAAGCAGGACAATAATCGCAGCAGGAAGCTCGCTAGCAAAAGTCTTGATGATCCTCGCATTTACCTGAGGGACAGCGGCATGTTGAAAACCACGAGGCACATTACCCAGGAGCTTAAATCGCGGATGATCCCGTCGGTGCAGGTTCACAGCGGCACTGATCATCGTATAGAACAAGATCACAAACACTGTCCGCAAAGTCGAAGCGAAGAACCAAACCTTGGCATGACGGGGGAACTTCTTCGCGCCATAGTTACAACCCGACCGGATAATGTACAGCATAGCCAAAGCACTGACACCCATGGCGGCATCGATTTTTGCGGAGGGAAGATACTTGAGGGTGTTGATGATGACCATATATGTGGCGTCTTTCGTCGAAAAGTCGGCCGTCTCTCCAAGCATGTCTTTGACCTGGCCGGAGCAGATATTGATGGCGGAACCCGTCATGAAAGCTGAAATTGCCGGCAGAGGAATGAAATCTACAATGAATCCCAGTCGAAGCAGGCCCATAGCGCAAACGACGGCCCCAGCAATGACAGCCAAACAGGATGCGATTACATGCGTTTCGACATCTGGGATCTTCTTTTGCGCCTCGGCAACTATCGTACCTGTAAGGGTAGACATGACAGCCACCGGCTGCACAGGGAAGGTACTATATCAGCAAGATACATGCTAACATGGACGAAGAATGACTTACACCAATGGTGATATCCTTTGAGGTGGCGAAAAACCAATAGATGAGAACCCCCATGAAGGAAGAATAGAGACCAAACTCCACAGGAAGGTTTGCCAGTTTAGCGTAGGCCATTCCCTGAGGAACCACCACGGCACCGACCGTGATGCCTGCATTTCAATGAGTATGCTTTTTTATTATAGACCAAATCAAGCAAAAACGAAAGGCTCTTACCGGCAATCATATCTCCCAGAAACCATTGCAAATTGTACCTCGTAATCCACGAGAGGAAAGGGAAAAGGTTGTAGAAATAACGGGCTACATCTTGCCCGGAAGGGCTGATCTCCTTCAACCATTCAACGGAAGTGGGTTCGGGCTCGAGATAGGAATATGTATCAATCGTTCCGACAGAGAACATCGACTCGCCTCGTGTGACTGGATCAGCATGGGCTCCCAGAGGATCACGATAGGGGACCTTGATCCCCAAGGCCTTGGCCACACCGTGACCAACTTTGGTTTTGAGATCGCCCGACATGGTCCTGATGGGAGAAACGGTCTCGCGAGTTGATGTAGGGTTAGGGGGGCGGGACTAGCCCAAAGTATACCAAGTATACCACTACTATATATCACCCAGTGGTTCTTTGGTGTGACGGGAAGTATAAGGTCCAACAGTGATAGGGTGACTTGGAAAGGTCGGATGGTTGGGGTGGGAAGGAAGAAAAGAAGAGGACAGAAGATGTTTGATATGAGATGCTGATGTAAAGCAGTGCTCAAATAAGGTCCATAGCCAGAACCTGTGGAGAATTGAGCATCGAGGAAAATGCGGCAGAGTGGATAAATTTAAGGTGAGATGACGGGAGAGCCAAGAGCGATGTCGTGATTAGGAGCAGGGAAGTCGAAATGTTAGCTTTCCCACAACAACACTTTAAAAATTCCACTAGTCCTGCAGTTGCTTAAACCAAATAGAGAGATTAAATTTATTCTAAATTCCCAATACGAGGAAAGGAAAAAGAAAAAATGGGAATATCAGAGGCGTGGGAGGGCCAGCAAGCGTTTCGGTGGCGTAGGAAACTGCACGACCACCGGAAAAAGAAAGACAATCACGAAGAGGCAACAAAAAAAAGGCAATACGGGGAGGAAAGTTCAGTTAAGTAAATGAAATTCTCGAGTGATGGACTACTTTAGATAAGTCAGGCAACTGATGGGAAGGGGGGAAGAAACTTGAAAGAGGTGTGGGTGTGGATATCTGCCAAACGGTAAGGAACAATATGGAATCTATCAAAGGAGGAGATGATCAAAACGGGGGGATTGATAAGTACTATCCCCGTTCAAGGAACTCAGAGGAGAAGGGGTTTGTACGAGTATGTAGTAAGAAAAATAAAATTAAAACAAAATTAATCCCCAAGGATTTGTACCGAATGAACGAGAGAATAGATTGCCATTGGGAACGAACATGAGCACAAACGCGCAGTGATGGGGCATATGATCCACTATGGATCGCCAAGGGCAAAAGTCCTCAGCAGACGCACCTCAGCGGAGGAGGTGTATCAAGCTTGTCGGAGAGTGCTGGCGTAAGAGCCGTTTAGGTGGACTGGGTGACGAGGGCCTGGAAGCGAGAGATGACGCCGAGCCGTGGAGCATTTGGTTCCGCTCATGGTTACCCATCCATGGATGATCAGTATCTGAATGGCAAAGCCAATCGGCATCTGATGTCTCATCTCACCTCTAGAAACAGGGCCTCTCCAGAATATCTGCTCAAGATTCTCAGACCATTTTTTAATTTACCCCAGGCGTAAATTGTGTATGCAAAGTGCCGCAGCGAGCAACAATGTTATATTGCCAAGAGTGACCGCCCACCTTTAATGATTGAGCTGCAGAGGACAGACGAGGAGAATGCAACCAATCGAGAGTTGCCCGCGACATCATCCGCCTCTTACGTCGCTCCACCGCCGGCCTCCAATCCAATAGGAATCGCGGCAGAACACGCCATCGTTCACTTTGATGGTGAAAGCCCGACCGGTCCACGTGTGGAATGAGTCTGATTCGAGTAAGTATCGGCTTCCATGAAATTTCTTTTTCTTTTCCATACCCTGGCCTTTTTCTTGACCCTAACCACACGCTTTCTTATTTTTTACTTTTATTTTTATTTTTATTTTTATTTTTTAATTTTTAATTATATTTTTTTTGACTTCTTGCTAGTCTTCCTTGGAGGCTTGTCATCAATCTAGTGCGGCAAATACGTAAATTACTGACGACGATGCTTAAAAAACTCCCGGGTGTTAACCAAATATTTTTCGTCGCCTCGACTAAAAAGCTCCGTTACATACGTCGTCGTCATGGCGGCCCCCGTAGTGGTATCAGGAGTATGGAGTTTCCCGTTCCTTTACACGGGCAGCCTCGGCCAGTTTCTCCCTACCAGGCCCAGACATTGCCGATGGGACTTGGCATTCTGGGGACTCTGGGGCTGCTGTGTTCGGTAGTAGACTGTAGTCGACTACCAACAAGGGTAAAGATGGACCGTCATCGATGGAGTATATTAGACGGGTATTACTATTGTGAATATGTCCACAATGACATATCCGCTGCGTGACATTAAGGTATAACTGTCCTAACCCACTTGGGATCCCAATATAATTTAGCCTTCGTGTTAGTAGTTAAAATGAGGTAAAAATACTTTTACCAACGGGTTGACACCAAACTTCAATCCTCCAATCCCAGTGGAGCCAGGTCACAGAAAGGCAATCGAGAGGGCCGCATTGGCCTTGGGTACATATAGAGCTCATGGGATGATGATCCTAGTCTGGACGGTGCTCGCCAATGAATCCTCACCACCTTGCTTGCTCTCCTGCACCTCGTCGAGCTTACTCGGTTCTCCACTCTAACACCATCGAGATCAAAATCGCGTCATCGATCTTATCACCCCCATTGTCCAGTGTCCGCTCGTTCTCAACAACCCCCTGGGCCAACCAGTGCAGGTACTAGTTAATATTGTCTGACACGGACATATAATGGAACCATAGCCAAGGGCCCAAGAACAAAAATCAAATTTCGCTAAGGGCGCTGGTATACCTGAAGACCAGTCCTTCCCGTTTAAGACATCGGTATAAGGGATCAATCGAATTACACTTTCTCTATGGAATCGATGGTGCATGCAGCTACAGAGTAGTATCATCCTAATTGAACCTATCCCGCGGAGTTACCGAACGTCTCGTATCGCAATACCATCTTTCAATGATCAAAAATCTCACCATCCGTTTCGCATCTTACGAACGGATCCCTGCCGCCCACCACCCTTGCTGCGAAGGCGTGCTTGAGATCTTCACGCATGGTCATACCTCAGATGCAAAGACCCCTGGTAGCAAGCGATGCTTGAGTAAACTCCCAGTCGCCTGACAAGCGCACGTTCCATGCCCCCTTATGGTGAGAATCCATGTATATAGTTCGGCATCTGCACAGACATCCAACTTCAGCCTCGCCAGATTAAAGTATATGAGGTCATTTCTACCCTAAAATTCGCCTCTCTTTTCTAATTTTGATTTTTTTCTCTTAACCGCCGAAAGGAACAGAAAAGAAAAAGGACCAAATTAAATCCTCCATTAACAAACAGAAAAAGCACATGCCATGTTGCGGAGCATGCGATCTACTAACCTGCATAGTTTACCTAGCCATGACCGAAGGATATGCCCTCGTGCCCGCCCAACTTCGGGGACTCTTATCCAATTGCTGTTTTGGATCTTTATTTCTCCTTACGTGATAGACTCTACTCGGGCACAGTCAGATCTCCATCGAGTATTACCCTCAACAGGAAGACAAGGAGATGTTGTCAGCCGTCCACTTTCGTTCATCCGGACAGATTGAGGTCAACAATTGTCGTTGATCACATGGGCCAATCACAGCGGGACTACTTAGAACTTGCCTCTATGTTCACTGGCAGTGTGGCTTTGAATTAATGCCCGCCGCAAGAGCCCCAGTCCACCTGACCTTTACCCCAGAGTCGATCTCAAGCTAATACAGGAAGTATGTGTACAAATACATTAGATCTTATGCATGAGTGTTCTCCAATCGGTATGCACTCGGCCATACTAGGGTTTACTCCGCATTCTATGTTCATACATCGAACCGGCGTTCAATTGGCACATACATACAAAACCACCGAGGAAAAAAAAAAAAAATCAACTTCCCTATACTAACCAATTCTCCCCCAGAAAACCACCAACGAAGAAACTGACCACAGCAACCCCAACCACCACTACCTACTAGTACCAGTCAAACCGAACCAAACAAACCAACCGATACAAAAACAGAAAAACCCCCCGCCAAACCCCCAAAATCCTTTAACTAAACAAACTAACCAACGCTCCTGACGTCATCCCACATCTCCACGCCCCAAAACAATGAACCAGATCGAACCAGTGATCATCTTTCTTAGGTATGAACACCGCTCGCTTCGAGAAGAATCCCCACCGGCTGCGATCATGAGACCAGCGATCTTATATCCCAATGCACGAACGAAAAGCGCACATCGAGTTGTTTCTTGACGCTCGGCATAAAGGAAGGATGGGGAAGGGGGGAAAAAAAAGAAAAAAAAAAAAAAAAGCCAAACGCGCAAACCGAAGCCGAATCGCTTATTCAAGGGAAAGCTGAAACGGAACGGGTCGTGAAGGCGCACGGATCGCCCCCGGAACAGAACAGGTGATTTTTTGAATGGATCTGTTGACCTTCGGAGATGTGACGTGCTGATAGATAGTGGTTGCGGTGATATTATGCTGGTTGTTGCTGCGGGGAATTGGATCTTACGTGGCTGCTGTTTAGTTAGGGATATTGAGACATTTGGTCATGGGGGCTATAGGGTACTATGTAGGATGCAGGATGCGCTCTTCTCTGCTTGTCCGTGGATTATAGTGAGATGTGCTACGATTAGGGGGAAGTGTGCATATGGAAAGTAGAGGCTCATTGATACACGTGGTCGCGCACGATGCTTAAGGTCATTGAGTTCTCATTCTCACGCGGGGTGTTGCTTTGAATCTTTGTTATACAAAGGTTGAATTCTTTATGCCCTTGCCAGTGCAGTGACGAAACAGGTGGAGAATCAAGATATCGCCCAGATTATGGACAGGGTTCTACTGCACTGAGTAGCAAGTACGTCGGGAATCACCAATACAGCCAGGGGAGCGCAGATATACACTGAGCTACAAACAGTTTGCCTATGGCCATTACAAGGGAATAAAGCACTTGGCAGATAAAATGGAATATTCAATACCCAAACCCACGCTGTAGTCTATAATGTTGAAACACGCTCAACCCCTAAACCGACCCACCATAACCCACCCCGAGTCAACTAAAGCGATGAGGAAAAAGGGAAGAAGAAATGAAATGTTGACTCGTTTACCATGATCTCGTCCATCTCATCAGGTACCATACCCTCCACTCCCTCATAACAGACAAGCAAGAAATAGAACATTATGCATGGGAATCAAAGCATGATGATGGGAATGTAAAATGAACCGACACGAAATCTCCCGTATCATCTTCCGAGTCTTCGAGAAAACGCCATCGCAGAGCAAATCATCAAGCGAACAAAAGAATTAAAGAATCAAGCAGTACCAGGGCTGAGCTCCCGCATGGTATCATAAGCGATTTCAATAATGCCCTAGCACAGCAACTTTATCAACCACAGAAAAAGCTCCCGCTTTACTGAGAGGCGCACTGCACTCTCTCAGCACCAGGAGGAACGTCGTCATCATCCTCGTCCATAGAACCGGCAGCACCATGGGCGCGTGCCTGGGAGTACTCGCTGGAATCAACATCCTCCAGCTCAAAGTCCTCCACCATGGAATCGGTAGGTGGCTGAGGCTGCTCCATGCGGGGGGGCAGAACCTGTTCCAAAAGGTTGAGGTTGTTGAGCTGATCCTTCTCAGGGAACTTGACATCGAACTGGATGTAGAGGTTGCCGAAGTCATGATGACGGAATGACGGCATACCCTGACCCTTGATCACCTTGATAGCGCCTGGAAAATCAGTGTGTTAGTGCTCGTTCCTCAACTAAAGTAAATGAGCGGAATAAATAACATACCAGGAGTAACAACCTCGCCAGGTGCGATGTTCACAGTCAACCAGCGGTCATCGAGGTGCTCAATGTTGATGTTACCGCCAGCAAGAGCTGTGAGAAGATCGATTTCAGCGTGATAGAAGAGGTCATCTTCCTTACGCTGGAACCGGGGGTGAGGCTTCTGTTCAATCTCGAAGACCACGTCTCCGGGCAGGACGCCAGGCATCTGGTCACCCTCCCCACGGAACTCGATCTTGTGGCCGTTCTTGACACCCTTGTCGACATGAACGTGGAGGACCTTGCGCTCGACAACGGTCTTCTTACCATTGCAGCGCTTGCAGCGGTCGCGCTCCCGAATGGTCTCACCCTCACCACTGCAGTCTGGGCAAACAGTCTGGAACCGCTGGATCATAGGTCCCATCTGGCGCATCATAGTCTTCATACCGGTACCATTGCAGCCGCCGCACGACTTGACGGCACCTTCCTTACCACCACGGCCATCACAGCCAGGGCAAATGACAGACTTCTGCAGGGCCAACTTCGAAACCTTTCCACGGTAGATATCCTCCAGGTTGACCTTATGAACGTGATGGATGGTGCGGGCCTTCTTGGGACCCTGCTCCCGCATGCCACCGCCGAACATGCCTCCAAAGCCACCACCGCCACCGAAGAACTGGGCAAAGAGATCCTCAGCACCCATTCCACCGCCGCCACCACCATTTTCAAGACCCTCTTCACCGAGCTGGTCGTAGAGAGAACGCTTCTGGGAGTCGGAGAGGATTTCGTAGGCACGGGAAAGTTCCTTGAACTTTTCAGCGGCCTCCGGGTTGTTTGCGTTCTTGTCTATGGGAAGCTGTCAGCAGATCCAGTCTATATTCTTCCGCCCCAACTGGCCATTGGAGCTAGACATAGGCGACGTACCAGGGTGATATTTGAGGGCACCCTTCTTATAGGCGGTCTTCAGTTGAGCCTCTGTGGCTGTCGGGGCAACCTGATAGCCTCACCGTCAGTTTCGAAAACGGGGGATTCAGCGGCCGCCCACAAGTATACTCACCCCAAGAACGTCGTAAAACTTGGTTTCCTTGACCATTGTGAGAGTGTGTCTAGTCGTATACTAAGGAAAATGTGACTTGTAGAGCAATTACAAGAACCGAAAGAATCAAGGCGAAAACTATAGAAACAAGAACTTTTCAGGTGAAATCGTTTCGGAAATGCGAACGGTATGGAAAAGAGAGAATCGTTCAAAGAGAGAAGAAGTTCGCCGGTCGGTTTAGCCGGAACGAAGAGTCTATAAGGTGGGAGAGGGGGCCTCGGGAGGGTGGTTGAGAGGCGGGATTGTTGATGGGAAGAAAAAGGATCTGACGGCCACTTCGAGGTTATCAAGACAGGAGCGGCGACAAGCGGCTGACGGGCGTAAGATGGTAATTTCAATACCAGGACCAGGCACCAAAGGGACCTTCACGGGGCAAAGTCTTGCTGAATAAGATGCCAAGCCTTGTGCAATCTCTGTATTCTGGTACCGGAGATACGATAAGGCGAAAATCCGAGGTTCACTGGCGACCTTTCTCCAATGTATCTATGACCGTTCCCTGGGGTATCAAAGAAAAAGCTCAAAGGGGGGGAAGTTCTAGGGGCAAGCCGGTGGAAAATCAATCAAATAAAACTAAATGGAACTGTAAAAGAGGTTTTGTCTGGCTTTTCAAGCACAAAACAATAGGGGCCTCATGTCCATGACTTGCAGCCCGATTGGCTTTGCTTTCCCCTTCTGGCTGCTTCGACCGCCCTGTCACAGGCTGAATCCACGGCTCGAGCGCTGACTCTCCCTTTCCATCTGATTCTGTCGGCTTCCATCATCTTCGCCGCCTTTCCACCGAATCGGTAATTCGTTTGTTTTGTGACCACCGTTACCCTGCATCCATGAAGTTTTACCCTGTATCATCTTTCAGATACCGGTTCCTTACAGCGGAGGATTCACAATGTCAACAGTCGTCCCTTTCCATCTGCTTCCATAGAGCGCTTATGTATTACGAAAAGGTTAGTTGTTATTATTATTATTATTATTATTATTAGTGTTTGAGAAACCATTCATAAATGGCATAGCATGAATAGATTTTGAATGAATTACAAGTGATCAAAATTACTTTTAGATTTAATGAAACGAGTATCTAGCAAGGGGCAACACTTGGTTCTGAATCCTGCGAATCGAGGAGTATAGAAAACATAGTAGATACACGCAGTACCGAGTACTTCTGTGGATGAAGATCTGGTTCCCTGAATTTTTGAATAATTTTTTTTTCTTTTTTTCTTTTTTGCTATTGTGGCACAGCCGACTTTGCCCCAGGCCAACAATGTGGCGGCGGGACGGCTAGTTAAGTTTTTTTCTTATCGATAAGGAAAAGTATCCAGAAATGGAAAGAGGGGTGTCAGTGGGTGAGGGGGAGTGAAGACATCCATGAATATAGCGATAGGTATAATTTAAGGAAGGAAAAGGATAACTGAGACACTCTATAGGTCATGATGTTTTTAAATGTTCATTATATAATTCTACATATAATATGTTATCGTGTGCATTCCAATGTGTATGCCGAGGCGCCCCGCATCATTAAATATATAATCAGTATCGAACAACTACGCAACTAGATAAATAAAAAACTGATGCAACTTGACTCATTGATTGGAAGTATTGGGCAGATTTTCATCATATCCTGAGTTTATTGCAAGAGGTAAAATCATCAGCCACCACAGACATTCTATACAATGGCAATTTTAAACTCTTGAGTGATGGACTACAGATTCTTCATGAGGGGGGGAACATCCGAATGCTTATATCAAGATCCTCCGCCAACAGCAAGCCGTGGCCAACCGTTCCTGCGGGTCAAGCTAGAACCGGAACGGCAATTGACCACCAGAATTTTGCCCGAACGAGTCGAGTTACATAACTATCGGTAGCTCAACAGAAACCATAACAGCTATTTCTCTGCGTCCCACTTGCCTTCAGTTATAATTTCCCTTCCCTTCCATATCCCATAATCCATATTAAATCACATCCAATAGAATGGAGTCAGACCCTGGATTTATTGCTGCCCTCGAGGAGGCAAAGCAAGGTTACGCCGAAGGTGGAGTTCCTATCGGCGCGGCGTTGGTCTCCAAGGATGGCAAAATCCTTGGCCGTGGACATAATATGCGCGTTCAGAAGGGGAGTGCGACATTACATGTTAGTCAATGATACGCCAGTTTTATAACCCCTAGGTGATTGGAAGGATGCCCATGGCTTACTTTAACATACTAGGCCGAGATGTCTGCCCTGGAGAACTCAGGCCGCCTTCCCGCTTCGGCTTATGAAGGTGCCACCATGTATACGACCTTATCTCCCTGCGATATGTGCACGGGTGCCTGCATCCTCTATAAGGTGAAGCGCGTAGTCATTGGAGAGAACAAGAGCTTTATGGGCGGGGAGGAATATCTTAAGAACCGTGGCAAGGAACTGGTTGTCTTGGACAACGAGGAGTGCAAGCAGTTGATGGAGAAATTTATGAAGGAGAAGCCGGAGCTCTGGTAAGTTCTTTTATTTTGAACACTGCTTTTGGATCATGACAAGTCGTCGATAACAATATATTCTTCAACCGCCCACCCCATCTCCCCATCTCCAAATGATAGTAGCTGACTATGGACGTATCAACAATGTAGGAATGAGGATATTGCCGTTTAAGCCCTGAATATATCATAGGCTAATCAGCCATTCGCCGATGAGCTGCAGGGTATGAGGAATCACAATGTAAATAGTCAGAGCCTCAGTCCTACCGGAATCATCGCCATGACCTAGTATTATGTTCCATCTATGCCGTTAGTCTGTGAATCTCCTCAAAAAAGAATTTGAGATCATCAGGCTTGACAAATGGAGTAACACCTGCGCAAATTAGCAAGTTTCATCAACTTAGATATTATGGGACATCATTACCATGGCCCAAGTTCGCAATCCATCCCTGCTTGCCCTTCTCGAAACCTTTAACCATGGTCTCGACAGTTTCTGTGATGGCGGCACGGCCACCGTAGAGCATGCCGGGATCAGCATTACCCTGGATGGTGACCCGACCATTCGCAATTCGCCTAGCTTCCGCCGGATCATGTAGCCAGTCAAGCCCAACAACGTTATAGCCGGATTCGCAAAGGTCATCAAGTGCATACCATGCGCCCTTGGCGAAAACAGTCATGGGTACTGGCTCCAGTCCCATTTCCTTCAACCGCTTGGGCAGATTGGCAGAAATATGGCGCAGATATGGGAGCGAGAATGACTTGAACGAGGCCGGAGAAAGTTCACCGGCCCATGAGTCAAAGACCTGAACCAACTGGGCGCCTGCGGCAACCTGGAGAGCAAGGTATTCCACACAGATCTCTGCGATCTTCTGCAGCAATGCCTGGGATTCCTTCGGGTACTTGTAGACCCACGTTTTCGACTGAACAAACATCTTGCTTCCACCGCCTTCAACCATGTAGCACAGGAGGGTCCATGGGGCACCGCAAAAGCCAATAAGCGGGACACGGCCCTGCAACTTGTGCCGGGTGAGCCGGATGGCCTTGTAAACGTAGTCAAGTTCCTCCTTAACATCGACCTGCTTTTGCATCACTTTCTCGTACTGTCCGTCGTCCGGCGTCTTCAGCGGTTCGGGGAAGTGGGGTCCCTTCTTGTCAACCATCTCAACCTGCATTCCCATAGCCTGGGGAATGACTAGAATATCGGAGAAGATGATGGCGGCATCGATAAGCCCTGCATACCGTTCCACGGGCTGGATAGTCAGTGTCGAGGCGATTTCCGGGCTGCGGCAACATTCAAAAAAGTCGCGACCTCCTTTAGCTTCGTGGTATTCGGGGAGATAGCGTCCAGCTAGAAGTAGAGGAAGCACAAAAGTTAGCAATGTCTGGCCTTTCAGCCTGTATGAGACTACATTGGGGGAAAGCTAGCAAAGCGTAGCGTATATGTATACCTTGACGCATAACCCATATCGGAGGACGCTCGACCTTCTCGCCTACAATTACATCAGCGGCGGCAATTTCTGCTGTTGTAATCTATGATGAAAATACCTCTTGCAGCCCTTAGCAAAAGGTCATTCTTCAATGGAGCGAATTGTTCCTGCATCTTGATGGAGAATAGGATGGGTTGTGCGAAGAAGGGACCTTGGGAAGAGGGGAGACTGCATGCAATTCTAGCACCCAAGGTGCTAACCGCCGCTCGGCGCCTCGGCCCGCCGCTGCAGTACATTTATGCATCCCAACCCAATTCGGAAACCTTCCATCTGCTACTCTAGGCTACATACCAGAGTAAATATTGGTAGCATGGACATAAACCCCTAACTTTCCCATACAAAGGCATGCAAACCGAAACAGAGCTTGAAGCATGTCTTGATTCAACTGATTAATTAAATAATGAGTAGTTGGAATTTACAGCGACCGATTGTCCTTCAGTCATCCTCTCCATGCTTCTTACGCAGATTGCCCAAACTATACAACGAATCGTCGAGTTCCTTTCTTTGCTTTGTGTTGGCATCTGCTGAAATTCCAGAGGAGCCACCCATATTGACGTTGGTAACCAGCGATTCTGCGACCGGCTCCCACTCCAAGTTTTCTGTTCCTGGCTTCACGCGGAACGATTCAATCAGATTCGAGTGGCTTGTTGGGCTGGCTCTCCATCCGTGGGTTGAGCCCTTTTCGTGGATGCAGTCCACAGAAACAACAATTGTGCTGTCCTTTTCTATGATAGCCACGTCTAAGACGTTGCCAGACACCTCGATTGGGTCCTGTGTTTTTAATGTGCCATCCAACCCAAGCACGAAGCATTGCAGCTGTGAGGACCTATTGGAGACATCAGACAAGCAGGATATTGACATAGACTCTCATTCTCACTTACCCATCAAGCGCAATAAGAACAATATTTGACCCACCGATTGATGTCGCCCAAATTCCACGAACTGTAACCTGTGTAGTCTCTGATTCCTGCTCCACTAAGGGAACCTTCTGTAGGATACGGCCTTCGGTCCACTTCCAGACTAGCAAATAATCGTCGCCTCCGCCGGAGATGAGATATTCTGGAGCGGCTTGGGGAATGCAGAGCTTGGTGACGAATGCAGTATGGCCCAGACAATAACGTTCAATAATATGAGCCTGTGGATAGCGAGAGACTCGAATATGCTCATCGCGGTCTCCGGTTAGGATGTAACTGCGCTTTTGACCGGAATTATCATCCTGAGGTACCGTGACAAAAGCCACATCCGTGAGCAATGACACATGGCCAAGTAGCAATTGATGCTGGAAATTCAGGCTGGTCTTTTCTTCGGTAAGATTTTTTTGACCATAGCGCAACTGTTGCTCCAAAGATTCAAGATTCCGCTTACTATGCACAGTAAGGGTTGTTGCTGCAGGCACCTTTGGCCGATTAGGAAGCTTTGGCGCCACATATGGCTCGTTGCTGGGAAGAAGTGGCAGCGAGTAAACATCGCCGAATTTATCACCACAGAGGATTGAGTAACCGTCATCAGTAAGAGCGATACTACATGGCCTCTTTGGCATACATCTGTAGGTAGGGTGAGCACACACTTTTCGTCTATTCAGCAGGGCCGACTAACCTTTCGCTTAGTTGTTCAAAAGTGCCATCAGCTTCCAAGCGGAGGACACGAATGCACTTATCTTCGGCTGTGAGCGCAATCACATAGTCTCCATTCGAATGCGCAACTAAAATAGGGATGCTGGACCAAGCCGGAGCCTTGACGGGTGATTTGGAAGTTTCAGCAGGTCCCTCCTCGGACGGGGAAACCTTTCTCTTCTTCTCTGGTGGTGCTTGGTCTTCCGATCCAGTTTCTGTCTCAGTTGCCTTGGAGTTATCTGGATTGCTTGCATTTACATATTCCGGCCAAGAAGAGAGACGCTGCCCGGTCTCTGCAACGTAGGAGTAGATCTTGCCCCCAGATGACGCAATAAGCAGCCTCTGAGGTTCTGCACCCTGTTTTTCCAGATATTGGATGCATTGGAATGGAATTTGGAAGTTGGCAGCCATGTTGTATATAATTGGTCGTATATTGCTAGAAAAGCGAGAACTGACTCGGCCACGAATATTGTGGTGTCAGAAAATACAGTAGCGAGTTGTAGTGCTGCGACCAGTAAAGTACATAAGCTACCTTGCGTAAAACAGTAATTAATTGAGGATCAAAAGAATACCATAAACCTCCAGAAGTATACCACCAAATGCACGCGCGCATGCCCTATCTGATCTCTCTTGCGGACATTTTTTTCTGCCGGGCGGGGCAGCACGTGACCATCTCGCTAGCCGAAGCCACAGAGAAACAAAATTTCCCAATTTCGAAGTTCCTTTGATTCTTTTGATCTTCAACGTCACGATTCAATCGGACAGCAACACACCTTTAGAAAGTTATCCCTTGCCCTTAAACATCCTATCTTCACCGAAATAAGGAGACATGGGGGGCAAGTCTGCTACCAAGGCCGCTTACTTCGAGAAGCTGAAGAGCCTTCTCGATGAGTACAAGACGGTCTTCATTGTCGGTGTCGACAATGTCAGCTCTCAGCAGATGCACGAGATTCGTCTGAGTCTCCGTGGTGAGGGTGTTGTCCTGATGGGCAAGAACACCATGGTATGTATCTCCATATTCCCACTTAATTGACACCGCAATTGACCACATTATTTCAGGTTCGCCGTGCCATCAAGGGCTTCGTCACCGACAACCCGGAGTACGAGCGTCTCCTTCCTCACGTCAAGGGTTAGTACAGTTCATTAAATAAAGCGACATTTAAATGTATGTGGACTAGTCACTGACGCGTCACAGGCAACGTTGGTTTCATCTTCACCAACGGCGACCTTAAGGCCACCAAGGAGAAGATCCTTGCCAACCGTGTCGCTGCTCCTGCTCGTGCTGGTGCCGTCGCTCCTGCCGATGTCTACGTTCCTGCTGGTAACACCGGTATGGAACCCGGTAAGACCTCGTTCTTCCAGGCTCTTGGTGTCCCCACCAAGATTGCTCGTGGTACCATCGAAATTACCACCGATCTTAAGCTCGTTGAGGCCGGCGCCAAGGTCGGTCCCTCCGAGGCTACCCTGCTGAACATGCTCAACATCTCTCCCTTCACCTATGGTATGACCATCTCTCAGGTCTACCAGGAGGGTCAGACCTTCGGTGCCGATGTTCTCGACATCGAGGAGGAGCAGCTGCTTAAGGCGTTCAGCAGCGCCATCCAGGCTGTCACTGCCCTCTCTCTGGCCACTGGCTTCCCCACCCTTCCTGCTGTCATGCATTCCCTCGTCAACAGCTACAAGAAGGTTCTCGCCGTTGCTGTCTCTACCGAGTTCAGCTGGCCCGAGATCGATGAGCTCAAGGACCGTATCGCCAACCCTGACGCCTACGCCTCCGCTGCTCCTGCTGCCGGTGCCGGTGCTGCCGCTGGTGGTGCCGCTCCCGCCGAGGAGAAGAAGGAGGAAGAGGAGGAGGAGTCCGATGAAGACATGGGCTTCGGTCTTTTCGACTAAACTGCTCATCTCATTGCGCGAGATGCGACCACCATGTTTTAGATACATTTACGGCCAATATTGACGGTTGGAAAAATGAAACGAATTTCATGGTCAATTTTTTCTCATTGTTCAACTAGATGTGGACGTAGACATACGGTCCACTATCTTCTTGAATCGCTTAAGGTGAGCATCTACTTTTTTTTACTCTTCACTACCATTACCCTGGACATCACTCCTTGGCGGATGATGATATTTTTTAACTCGTAGTCACTGTTGTGGCGTTGAAGATCAAAAACTAGCAACAACAAACACTCTAATTTTTTGCTGACTCGCCTCTCTTCTCTCTTGTTCATTTCACACACCTTACAGCAACATGGATTGCTAACTGTGATTACAGATCATTCATATGCATGTGATGTGTAGTAGTATGTCTCGAGTTGGATTCGTAGTACCACGGTGTTTCTGCACGAGGGTCCAGTCTCTGGATTTGGATGTTTACTGTCTCAGATGAAATAAACTGCTAGGTAAGGCTCGTGCAGGGGTTATGGATTCTTATTCAGACACTTATATAGCATCATTTGTGGTATGAAACAATTGATCTAAACATTCCGTACATACAATGCACCCGTCTGTCTGTTGCAATTGCAAATATGACCGCAAAATATGTATCTGTGGTAGTAAAGAAAAGTAAAGTGGTATACTCGGCAAGCAAGAAGACGCCAAAACTATCTGACATGAAGTGAATACGCGAAATTAGCCGTGCTTCAGTTACCGTCATCACCACTCCTCCCAAACCGACCACCGAACCCACCCAGGTCCCGACGGAAGAACTTGCCAATATTTTTCAGGTTCTCGTTCAGGTTGCCTGCAGTAGCGTTCTCGGCGGTGCTCTGTAGTTGTGCGAATGGTCCAGGTGATATGGGGGTGGTGGATGTCGATCCTGGGGCTCCACCGGCGCCGGGATTTCCAGTTGAGGACATAGGAGTTCCGAATCGGTCGACACCATCTTTGGCGGCTGAGATAATGGCAGACCCCAACATGGATGGGTCGAAGCGAGTGGGAAGGTTGGAAGCGCCGATTGAGGCTGCGGCGGTTCCGAGTCCTAGCCCTTGGTTTGAAGAGGAGGCGGGGGTGGTTTGAAAGGCTGTGAGGATGGGATTGCTTTGCTGAAGGTTCGGTGCGTGACGGTCTGATGCACGGTGGATTTGGAAGAGTTCCACGAGCTGGTTTTGCTCTTGTCGACTGCGGATTCCTTTGAGTTCGAGGATCTTGCGGAAATTCGTGTTGCTGCTGTCCTTGATGTGGATCAAGTATGCTTGCACTAGTGCCTCTGGAGGCGATGGTTGGACTTGGAGGGTCTTGAGGAGAGTCTCGATCTTCATGAAGCTGTTGTTGACACGCTTAACGAAGCTTGCTGGAGCGGGAGCTGGTAGAAGAGATGAGAGGCCGGTTTTGAGTGTATATCCGTCCAGGAGCATCTATTCAGAGTTAAATGTCAATACTTTGCACTGTGTTTTGGCATGCAAATCGAAGGTTGGTAACTTACTTGCTCCGCTCCGGTCTCCGAGACTGGCTTACATTGGAAGATATTCGAAACAAATACGTTTGATATCAGCTCTACGACGTGATCTGCGAAAGCTCGAGCGTACTGTTGTTTATGCAGCAACTGCAGGATCTCGGAGGACTTGGCGTTCAGCTTGGTCATGAGTTCACTGACGTACGTGCTCTGATCGCTAACACTCTCAAGCCGGTTCCAAGGTGTATTGCGCATTTCTCGCCACGAGGGCTCTAACTCGACCTCGACCATTCGCACAAGACACCGAACAGCAGCAGACGCAATGCCCATAAATGAATCTGCCTGGCTTTGCAAGTCAACCGACTGTTTCAGGCTTTTGTCGAGCCTGCCTTTGATTTTTTCCTCAAGTTGATTGCAGGTGGTGTAGCAGTAATCTGCAGTGTTGAGAACCGATATGAGGTCCTCCAGAGATGGCACCTTGGATGGAGTAGTGCCGGTGGGCCTCTCACTGATATAGTATAAGAGGACTTGTTGGGCATACTGATCGAGATACTTTGCGAAGACTTTGGCCAAGTCGGCAAGGCTCCCGCCGGTCGAGAGTTTCGCACATTGTTGTAGAGAGAGCCTGTAGAACGTAAAGAGCTCCGTAGAGGACGCTATAACAATATTAGAATCGAACTCCTCATCTGGTGGCCTGATAGGTTGCTGCCGATATTTCGGTATAAGGGTAGCCAACTGCTTATCTTGAGCTTCAACCCATACGCTTAGATAAGGCTCAAAGGCCTCTGAAATGGCCTGGCCAAAGACTGGCGCTTCAGCCGAGGTGAACGTGTCGGTGGACGGGCGGGATGGATTGACAAACCGCCGCTCCAAAGTATGCTCAAAATCAAGAGTCTCCTGCAGGCATGAAAGTAATAGGTTGACATCGATCGTCTGCCCATTTCGCACTGACCGGGAAAGAATGCCCTTGAAATCTTCTCGAGTTCCTTCACAAAATATGTTTGCCAATATCTCATCAACCCTCCAAGACGTCGGCCATATTGCAGCGTATTCCTCATCGTATATCTTCAGTATACGACGGAACCATGAATACCTCCGCGAGATGTTATCTAAGGACCCCGCCTCCTCGTTGTTCCTGAAAACCTGTCGATACTCCCGTAGCTGGAAATTGCAATACCAGGTCACCAGCCTGGACTTGGCATGCTCCCCCAAGGCGTCCATTACGAGACAGCCCTCCGAAAGTACGACCCTCTTTTGTCCCACTTCGCCCTTAGCAAACGCCAACTCGAAGTCTTCACAGACCTGTTCCAACAGCTCTCGTTGTATATCTGCTACATTTCTGCTGAGAAGAGCGATCTGATCAATGGATCGGTACGACTTAAAGTGCGCCATCAGCTGAATAACCGCCTGCAGTAATTGGGCACAGTCCCGGTACTGCCGTGTCTTACCGAGGACACGGAGCTGATCGTATGCCGTCGTCAGCATCTGTAGCCTCTTCAGGGCTGTCATGGATTGCGTGAGGTTCTTCTTTGCATTGTCCAGCTGCTTGATGTCCGCCGTCATCTCGGTGATGGCCAGCTCCGTCTTGGACGCGCGGTCGCGCACATCATCAATCTTCTTGAATAATTCCGTCAAATCTGCCTGGGCAGCCTGTATGCGCTCGACACTTTCCGCATTCGATGTGACTTGTTCCTCCACCAGCGCGCCGATCTCGTCGTCCAGCTCATCTTCGTAGTCTAGGAGGGACTGAGAAACGTGGGAGACGGAGGACAGCGTGGAGGGATGGGAGAAGATAGCATTTAGGTGGTCAATTGGATCGTAGTCCGCTATTGCATAATTCAATAAATTTTCGTATTAGCGGGAAATCAATCGGCACGGGTTCGTCTGAGAAATTAATCTCACCTGCGTCGAGGGGATCGAGATCCGCCGCTCCGTTGGAGGGCATGTGGCCGGAGGAGGGAGAGGTGGTTGTTGTAGACATTCCATTAGCTCTTCAGTTTACACCCAAGGTACATGCTGTGTTTGGGATTTCCCGACCCTCTACCAGTTCACGTAGGGTAAGAGGGAGATATTAGGGGACTAGAATATCTATTACAGCAAAGAAGGGCTGAGGACAAAACTGGTCTTGCGGAAAGTTGGCGATCAAGCCCGGGAAGTTGTAAACGCCGAAAGTCAACTTTTAGCGCAACGCGGCTAATTGATGGGAGTAAGTATAAATAAGATTGGCCTTGAGAGAGATTAGCTCCGCCGCCCCTCCATGTCATATACATCTTGTACTCTCCTTTTTACCTTTTCTTTCTTTCTTCTTCTTCTTCTTCTTCTTCTTCTTCTACCTCCTCCTTTTCTATTTTTCTACAGATACTTGTGAAAGTTGTGTGCTTGTTTTCTGGCCCGTTGGAAGCAGACCCAGCAAGTGATATTGGTCTCGCGGGGGTTATCAAATGGAACCCCCTCCCCTTTCTATCTATATGGACATGATCTTCGTCGTCTCTCAAGGTTCAGTAAATGTGATACAGTGAAATCTTTCAAACAAGTCAGAGAACCCACAACCGTTCGCCTAAGCCATGCAAGCACAAATAAATGCAGTATAAAAATAATAGTTGATCAAGACTCCAAGCAAACACCACAGCTTCCTCCACTCAAAAGTTTTTGGGTATGTAAAAATCAGATAAGAACTAGACAGCTCCAGGCAGGAAAGCGTCTGGAGGCAGCTGTCCCTGAGCCTTTACACGGAATCAGTAAAGCTCCATTAAAAAACTGACCAAGTGCGGGCAGGGCTTACCTTGAGCTCCTCAAAATTCTTCAAAGCAGCGTCCAAATTCCAACCGTTGCCCGAAAGCGCCATTTCAGAGTATGGCAGAGTCATGCCCGTTTTGGCGCTTATTTGCATGACCAATTGCTCTTGTTGCACCTGGGCATCTGGTTTGCCCGGTGCGGGCATACCGTAACCATCGGAAGTAGCCGGAGGAGCAGCCGGTGGTTGGATAGGAGGTTGTCCGGGTTGAGTTGCTTGGACAACCGGCTGCTCCAACATCCATGCTTCATGGCCCCCATGAGCCCGTAGACAAAGGATATCGTTGATCACCCTAATACCGCCCATGCCTCCGCCAGGTCCCAGGATGAATGTCCGGTCGAAACTCCGAAGGTCAACCTTCGGTCCATTGATCTCTTCGAATTTTCCATGCACCATGATAAGAAGTCCACCCACGCCAGTCGGGCTCTGTCCGGAAGGATCAGGAAGCCCAGGGATGGGGAAACATTCAATAAGCCATTCTTCAGGGTGAGCTCCTATGTCGGGATGTCGTGTTTGAGGAAGGCTGCTCCACATCTCACGAATTTTTTCCGCACCGACAAAGGAACGAGACATCCTCGCAGGAAGATGATTGATCTTGAGTAGATTCCTACTCTTCTTGATGTAAGGATCCCAGGCCGCAGTCTCGGTCTGCTGGGCTCTCGGAGCAGTGGTGTTGACATTCAGCGAGAATGTGGAATTGTTGTCGTATACACCGTTCAGAAGGTCAGTACGGTTGTTGTCATAACCAACAAAGAAGGCCTTGACAAAGTTCTCTCCGATTTGAGATTCATCCTGGAAATGCGGCGCCTGAACAGGAATGGGTGTCTTCTTCTGCGCAGCCACTTCCTCCGCCGTCCGAACTTCTGTATTATTTAAATATCGAAGTTTAGGATACCACTTGAGCATGGTGTCCTTGAAAGTAGGATCCGCGCTGAAAGGGGTACCGGTGAGGTCGAGAAATTCCAGATTTCGGAACTTCCATCTCCATCCAATTAAGGATTGAGAGTCTTTGAAATTATTATTCGATAAGTCAAGGTTTTTCAAGTCGGGGAATGATTGAGCCAATGTTGTGACGACCGTGATATTTGCGAGCTGATTGTCGGCAAGGCTGACACTCTCCACAGCCTCGCGTCGCGCTGTGGAGTTATCAAAATTCATCTCCCACACTTTCATCAACGCTGGGAAGAATTTGGATTCAGTAGATGTGCTATCGAAGATTCCCATTGCCAACAAGTCCGGGTCGCTGCCAAGCTTAGAGAGGTTGAGCAATTTCTGCTGTTGAAAATAGCGTTTGCTCAAGATCGCGGTCATCTTGGATTTGGTATCGGCGGTCGAGGGGGCGCCACTGTTTCGCGACACTTCGGATAGCATCGTTTGGTCCATTCCATTGGCGGACGGATCATATGTCTGGATCGTAAGAGGTGCTCCTGCAAAACTGAAACCATTCATTTTCAGCATCCTGTCCAACAACTCCGACCGGATAGATACTATGAAAGCATCGCCTTCAACCCGCGACTAGTGAACGTTAGTAAGGCGTAAGAGACCTTTTTACCGCCGTCATCCAGAGGAACAAACGCCAAAAACAGCCTGCGACCGTCGTTCTGGGGTACCACTCCTGAAAACGAGAACACACCGGAGAGGACGACGTTGCGAAATCATGTCGGTGACCGTCAAATCTGATGTTGAACATACCTTTGTAATCCTTGCGCGGGAGCCAGCTTTCGAGTCGGATGAGTTGAGTTTCTTTTCGAGGAAGGTGATTAGACTTTCAACGCCACCGTCGCGGTTGGACGCTGCTTTGCTCTGTTTCCATCCTCGAACGCTAACTTGTTCCAGATTACTGCCTCGGCCACCTTGTCGGACGTTTGCCTGAGAATTTGTGTTGCTTGAAATAGCCTTTTGGATAGCGTCGAGTGTCCTATCGCGTGTGTGGGCCCGTGGTCCAGTAGCCACCGAGCGGCTGGAATCCCCGCGCGCCTTCTTTACACGGCCTTGAGTAGAGCCTGCGTCCATAGCCAGATCACCATCTCGATCGACCCGCTTCGCTGCACCTTTCTTGCGAATACCCCCACGATCCGAACCGCCTGAGCGGCCTCGGGAGCCTTTTCCTCCTTTCATGTTGATCGCAGTGGTGAATATATTCGGAATGGGAGAAGAATGGTAGGTATCGAGGGTAAAGTAGTTGGTTGGTATAGGGCTTTTTTGTTCTCAGGCGGACTTAGCGCTGTGCGCCTGAAATTCAAGTCGATCTAGTCGGCATGCAATAGAGAAAATAGTTAGAGGTAGGAGGGAAGATAGAGTAGATGTTGTAGATAGTTGTAATAAATATATTGGAAGAAGTAGGATCAAGCAAAACCTCGCGGGCGAGGTCTTGAGGTGACAGTATGAGGCAGAAGAAAGTCAAGCGGAAAAAGTGACGTGAATCAAAAGAGTCATATCACGTGAGGCCAGGCAGGACGATGCCTGCATATCCACGTGATAATATAACAGGCACCCATGGAGTGGAGGCTCCAATGGCCAATCAGGGACTGCAGTTTGTCCTTTGGGACACAATCGGTAATACACGATACCGATGCCGCCAACTGGGTGGAGTAAATTACGCTACCCGTGACGATTGTTGTTCCATTAAGTGTTTAGTTTCGTATTTCATGCATGCAATCTATCATTAGGACAGCTTTGCCAAAAGTCAGGAACCGCAAGGGAAGTCCGAGACCCTCTGCTTGTCACTGGCGGTCTCCTCGATTTCAGAATTCAACCAATTGGTAAGCCAGTTCCTCTTTCTCTTAGTTAGTCAGTCATTCTTTTTGTTTGTAATAGACAAGGCACTCGATCGGGCTCGGGCCACCTTGACAACTTTACGTACGGTTCTAATCTGTCCTATATAGGTTGTTCCCCCAAGCGCTTACCTCTCCTTCAATTGATTTGAAGGAATTCTCTTACATTCCTTACGGCTATCGTAGCCTTCCCGTATGGTCGCTGAGCGATCGAGGAGATGCCTGCCAAATCGCGATTCACGAGGCTTGATGCTTTCGCCAAGACGGTTGAGGATGCTCGCATCCGTACCACCTCCGGCGGAATTATCACTATAGCCTCACTGCTGGCTATTTTATGGCTTGTGTGGGGAGAATGGGTGGATTACAGGCGGGTGGTGGTACTCCCTGAGCTGGTAGTTGATAAGTCGAGAGGTAAGAAAGAGCTAAGCAAACTGTGGTATTGAAGTGGGAGCTGACCGAGTACTGCGCACTTCGCTATATAGGAGAGAAAATGGAGATCCATTTAAACATGACCTTCCCACGGCTCCCGTGCGAGCTTCTTACCCTCGATGTGATGGATGTCTCTGGTGAGCAACAGACCGGCGTAGTGCATGGTATCAACAAGGTGCGCCTGAGTTCTCCTGCAGAGGGTGGCCACGTCATTGATGTCAAAGCTCTGGAACTGTAAGTCAATCTTCTCTATCTCACCACATTGGACGAGCCGTTCGGCTTATAAATATCTTTTGCAGTCACTCGGAGCAAGAAGCGGCGAAACATCTGGACCCTAACTACTGCGGCGACTGCGGTGGAGTCCCGCAGCCTAACGGTGAGAAGCGATGCTGTAACACCTGTGAAGAGGTGCGAGAGGCCTATGCACAACAACAATGGGCATTCGGAAAGGGTGAAAACATTGAACAATGTGATCGCGAGGGCTATGCGCAACGTCTGGACGCCCAACGCCGTGAGGGTTGCCGTCTTGAAGGTGTCCTCCGCGTGAACAAGGTGGTCGGAAACTTCCACATCGCACCGGGCCGGAGTTTCACGAGTGGAAATGTCCATGTGCATGATCTTGAGAACTACTTCGAGGGCGACCTTGCCGACGCCGAGAAACACACTATGACCCATATCATCCACCAGCTTCGGTTTGGTCCCCAGCTGCCAGATGAGCTGTCGGATCGCTGGCAGTGGACCGACCATCACCACACCAACCCGCTCGACAGCACCCAGCAGGAGACTAGCGATCCCGCATATAATTTTATGTATTTCGTCAAAGTCGTTTCGACTTCCTATTTGCCGCTGGGTTGGGACCCATTGTTCTCCTCGGCCGTCCACAGCGCCTACGAGGATTCTCCGCTGGGTACCCATGGTATTGCATATGGCTCTCAGAGCAGCATCGAAACACACCAGTACTCGGTGACCTCCCACAAACGGTCTCTGAGGGGCGGCGACGCTTCCGACGAAGGTCACAAGGAGCGTCTGCATGCTGCAAATGGCATCCCTGGTGTCTTCTTCAACTACGATATCTCCCCCATGAAGGTCATTAACAAGGAGGCACGGCCCAAGACTTTTACTGGGTTTCTAACCGGTGTCTGTGCAATTATCGGC